AATTATATTTTGTTGTTGTTAACATGCCTGGACTTTTTTTTGTGTGAAGTAATGTTTTTACTGTCTCCCAATTGAAGGCAACGACACAGAGATTAGTTAAATTTCTCAAAGCCTCAAGGATGTTGGAGGATTAAATGGAAATTTCCAATTTGTATTTGTGTGGAGAAAGAAAGCGGTGGGGAGAGAAAATTGGAGGAACCTGTAGCTTAACAGGTTCTTTGGGACTCAACGTAAACAAACTGATCTTGGAATGAATTTGGACCCAATTTTTTTTGAACCCTCTGTGTTTCCCCTCCAATATGTGCATATGTGTATGCATGTGTATATGCATATATGTTGGAGTAAATATATTACATATATTTCACACACATGCACCCATGCACGTGTGTGTGCATGCGCACATACACCTCTAGTATTTATGATGAATTCCCTCATAGGAATTTGTAGTCTAAGTACAGCAACAATTTGTTGAGTACTTTTTCTGTGTAAGGGTCTGAGAATACGAGCGTTAGAGATGGACAAGAACATGGACTAGCTGAAACATAAGACTTTAAACAGAGTACAGGGGAGAACAAACAAAATGAGAGCTTGGGGCTTCTTAGAAAGTTCTCTAGACAAGACAATGCAATGTTTGAAACCCTTCAGTTATTTAAAAACTAAGACAGTCTTCTAAGTTGAAAAACTACGATGCTCTGTAACATTATTGAGATGGAAGAACTACCTTCTGTGGTTACTGACTTATTACTGACTTACTGATTTATTACCAAGTAAATGAATGGATGCTTTTTATGAACTGTGTGTCCCCCCCAATACATTGCTGTTGTTTGAGGTTATACACTCCTGTTGTCCTAGAATAGGATTTTATTTAAAATAACAGTGAGTTTTTAGGGTGCTTTTTTGGTTTTTTGGTGGGCAGGGGAGACTGAAAATTGGACAAAAAAAAACTGCTTAGTTTTTGAATGCTTACTTTTTTACCATTTATAAGTATTTATGTCATTTTCACAGTGTTAGAAATTTTTGGTTATCTGCTTTATATATTTACCTATATTACTTCTGTAAAAATCTTAACTATTTGCTTACTTGTTTGATTTATAACCAAGTCTTTTGGGCTACTACTTTTTAATACCAAAAATTATGCTTTAAATACTGTGGAATGTGTTTCTGGTTTTAACATGAATGACTTGGCTATCTCCATTTTGGATGACCTGTTTATTTTAGGGGCTATCCCAGGCTATCATAGCTCTTAAAACATATCAAATATATGGATGAGCTCCTTCTATGTAATCTGTCATTTTCACTACAAGAACTACCTTTAAAAAGTAACCTGCAGGGGCTGGAGAGATGGCTTAGTGATTAAGAGCACTGACTGCTCTCACAGAGGAGCCGGGTTTGATTCCCAGCACCCACATGGTGGCTAAGAACCGTCCTTAACTCCAGTTCCAGGGGAATCCGACGCCCTCTTCTGACCTCTGCGGCATTGTATGACACGGGTGCACTCACATACATGCAAGCAATACATTCGTACACATAAAATAAAAATGCTAAATAAAATATTAAAAAAAAAGTAACCTGCAATGACAACATACAGCATTAAAGTGAATCATTGGTCCATAGTCAAATGGTGCCTCTTGCTTGCATTGAAGCTTGAACACCAGGAGGAATTTCCTTGTTTTTCCCTGGTAGGTCCCTCCTTTGTGTTTTCAGGGTGAAGAACTCAAACAAATGCTACAAGTTGTAATAACTCTATGGATTAAGCAGCCATTATTAGATGGCCTGGGGAGCTGAACAGCCTTCGAACAGGATTTCCTGGGTAAATCTTACCCCACCTTTCAAGCAAGTGATTAAAAATTGAATTTAGGAGTTGCCTTTCTTAAGGCTGCTGCAACTCTTTTGTCCTCCTGCACAGTTCCTACCATAGCCTCTAATGACAGCATGGGCACAGCTGCTTCCTGAATTAGGGAAATGTCTTTTTCATGAATAATTTAGATTTATAACTAACAGTCAGTGTATTTTAAAGGAACTGATTCATAGTTGCGTCTCAGAACCCATAAATGTGAAATGAAATCTGAAGTAATATCTTTTTTTACCTTGTAATCTTAAAGATCTTTATGAATTAAGAGGGCATATGCATAAAATAGATTTTTTTTTGCTTTATTTTAAAATACTGAAGCCATAATACTTTACTTTCTAGGAAGAGAATGCACATGCGTTTGTAGTCCTTAGTGGATAGGCTAATAGACTCAGGTGTTCATTTATCACAGACGCCTTCTGAATTCCCATGGTAAGTTGCCTTTTTGTGACCTTGAGGACACACACTGGGGCTCCATTGAGCCTCTCCCTGCCTTTTATGGCTACATCTAGTGACACATTGTCTCCCACAGAAGGTCCCTGTAGACTGATAAAGAATCCCAGCCCTTCTCACCCTGAGACAATGAGGCACAGGATTGCAGTCTGGGGAACCTGCTCAACCCCTTTAACAGCAACAGTACCCGTCTCTATGTTAATGGAAGGCCTTAAAGACATGTGTCACGCTCAGCTTTGCTGGTGGGCAGTGCCCATGATTTGGCCCTGCTGCTTGGCACATGCAGCTGTTTCTTAAGCAGCACTTTGAATGGGGATGTTTTTCCCTTTGTCATGAAGTATAAGTTTCATCTAAATAATGACTTTTATTCATTCATCAAGCCCTTTAAACATAGGCATTTGAACAGACAAGCTGTCTCTGAGAATGGTTTTGTCCCATCGGAACTCACGATCAGTTCTGATTGGATTTCCTCTCTGTTCTTCATTAATTTTCAGGTCATTTGTGTCCTGGGAACACTTCTCTGATGACCATTTTGTATTTGATGGGTTTGCTGATAGTTTAGAGCAGTTTGGAGGTCCCCATGTGACTAGAGTTTTGTTCTTTGGTAGAAGATGAGGGGATTAATCGTGATGGAATTGAATGAAGTCAGGTGACTGGGGTGCACTGGTTGTGGGAGGAAGGGGCACAGTGGGTGAGGTTGGACATCCTGTTTCTGAAGCTGTGGGTGTATCACATTTATCCAGCCATTATAGTGAGCATTAGATGATATAGCTAGCCAAGTCTTCCTCTGTCCTTCCCTCCTGGTTTTCTCTTTTCCTCCCTCCTTTTCTCCCTCCCCAATTCACATTTCATTCAAGTTTACTCTTCTAAGTGCTGACTATAAAGGACATAATAAAGGTGTGCTCTATATAAAAGACAAAAGAAAAGACGTGTGTGTGTGTGTGTGTGTGTGTGTGTGTGTGTGTGTGTGTGTGTGTGTGTGAGAGAGAGAGAGAGAGAGAGAGAGAGAGAGAGTTTTTCTTAGCTAAAATGAATCATGTACTATTAGTCTAATGAACTTCTGCGTGGAAGATTTCCTGAGAAGATTAACATGCTGTTTCAGGCCAGCAGGGTTCTGGTTATGCCCTTGTAAAGTCTTAGGAGCCTGGCTTTCAGAGTCATAGTACTGGGCTGAAGTCCTGGCTCTATGAACCACTGTGTGATACTTGGCAAGGTCAGTTAATCTTTCCAGGCCTCAGGTTTTTCATGAACAAATGGTACCTACTGGTGGATTGGTTGGATTAAGTGCATTGTAGGTATTTTTTTTTTTTTTTAATTTAATCATCTGAGCCGTAGTTTGCTGCCTACTTTGAACATTTCAGGATATAAAGAGAGAAGAGAAACTCTAGTGTTCTCATGTTCTGTCTCTGTCTCTTGTCTCCCCTCTCTCTGAGTGAGCGAATGAGTGAGAGAGAGAGAGAGAGAGTGTGTGTGTGTGTGTGTGTGTGTGTGTGTGTGTGTGTTTGTGTTGGGGGCTTGTGGGGAACAAGGCATCATGTAGCCCAGGCTGGCCTTGAACTTTTTATGTGGCCAAGGCTATCTATGGACTCCTGATCCTGCTTCCACCTTTCAAATGCTGGATTACAGGCTAACCTTTAGACTTTCAGCATAAGTCTACAGATTATTGTACAGATAAGATAACAGAGAGAAATAGCTAAACTGGAGGTAGCTCCAGTGGGGAAATTGAATACCCAAACTTGAATGTTTATTGATTGGAACTTTCTAGAGCTTCTGTGGGGGTCCCCATGTTAACTTCAACTTGAAGAGCTTAGCATTTTGATACTCCAAGTGTGGCACTTTAGTATCACTAGGTTTTTTTATTATTATTATTATTATTTTTAATGTAAATCCTGAGCCCTCTTTCCAGCAGTTGGGCCAGAATTACAGGGATAAAGAGCCAGGAATCAATGTTTTTAGCAAGCTCCCTGGAGATTCTTATCTATGCTGAAAACTCACACCACTTGGCTCTAGATGCCTGTTAGATTCACTTGAGAACATGGAATTTTTATAGAGGTTGGGATACAGACCTCACTACCCTGACTGAATTGGTTTGGGATACAGGTCCTGGGCTTTGGGAGTAGCGGGTGATTTTATGGTAATCTGTACCTGGGTGAAGTAGCAGTGGCCTAGAAGACAGCTGGTGAAGGTGGTGGTCCACCGCTTGCGGTATCAGGGATGAAAACTGACTCAGTAAGTCATTGGAGTGCTGTCAGGGTGAGAGAGAATGGGAAGTGTGCTTATGGTACAAACTTGCTGTTTGGGAAGATGGAAAATTACTGACAAAGGATGCTGTTGGTGGTCGTACAACTTTGTGAGCATATTTAATGCCACTGAACTAAAAATAGTTATGATGACAAATTCATTTTTATGTTCATCTAATCACATTAAAATATATTTTAGGACAGGGGAGTGAGTGCTTGCCTACTGAGTAAAGGTCCAGGGTTTGATCCCTAGCACTGAAAAAATTTCTGTAACCTGGGTTCTTGCCTATAATCCCAACACTTGGAAGGCTCAGGTAGGAGGATTGTCTTGAGTTTGAGGCTAGCCTGGGTTACATACTGACTTCCAGGCCAGCCTGGTCCTTATGGATCAGACACAAAGTTTTAAATCCATTACAGTACATACCTTCAGAACCGTGTATTATTCTTTTTTTTCACAGTGACAGGGTATCATGTATGCTGCTCCTTCCAGGGGACACTCCCCTGCTTTTCTGCAACCTCAAAATGGACACAGCCATCGCTCACCTGGTTATGTGCCTGGGAAGGTTGTCCCCTTACGTCCTCCTCCTCCTCCAAAGAGCCAAGCTTCAGCCAAATTGACCTCCATCAGACAAGAAGCCCCAGCGACCTTTGCTTTCTCCCCTGAGGAGCAGCGATCCCCGAGGGAGAGCCGAAAGCGGAAGAGGCACAAGAACACCTTCGTTTGCTTTGCTATAACCAGCTTCTCGTTCTTTGTTGCACTTGCAGTCATTTTGGGAATATCCTCAAAATACGCTCCAGATGGTAGGTGTGTGTGTGTGTGTGTGTGTATCTTGTGTGCGCATGCGTGCATGTGTTTGTACACATAGAACATACCTCAGAAGAAGAGATAAGAAGTAGAATAATTAAGGAAAAACTTTGACCTTAGGCTGGCTCTAGCTCATAATACACAATTAGGATGAGGTGTAACTTCTTATGAATGCCAGCAGTTGTCAAGAAACCCATTGAAAATTACAGACTTGATGCTTGCTTTCTTTCCATTTTTCCACTTTGTCCCAGGATTCAAGTTGTTCTTGGAGCATCTCTTGGAAATGCTTTTAAGAGACCTCACAGAATTCTTGTGGTAGCTATGATTTTTGAATTGCAAAAAGTTTTTATTTGATCATAAATATAGTGATAAAGTTGACTTAATTTTTAAAAACAAATGTGATTAAAAAAAAGACTTGTTTGTGCTTTGAAACAGGCTTGAGAAACAGTACAAAAAGAGAAGCTTTAAATACTATTGAGTTGTAGTGTATATCCTTAAAAGAAAACTTCTGGGGCTACAGAGATGGCTCAGTGGTTAAGAGCACTCACTGCTCTTGCAGATGACCTGGGTTCAGTTCCCAGCACCCACATGGCAGCTAACAACAACCTCCAGTAAACTACAGTTCCAGGGAATCAGGCACCCTTTTCTGGCCTCCATGGTATTGCATGACACGAGTCACTAACGTACATGCAGGCAACACATACACCAATAAAAAATAAATAAAAAAAAAAAAAAAGAAAGAAAAAGAAAACTTCCATCCGGGTGTGTGAACTGTGATCCATCCATTCCTTCATAGTTGAATGTCATGTACAGAAGCTTTAATTTCTTAAATTACATTTGCTTTTCAAGAAACCACATCAGACATTTAATGATCAGGGCTGGGGAATATGTAGTTCAGTTGGTAAGAACTTGAGTTCAATCCCTAGAACCTATATAAAAAATAGTCAGCATCCATGTGGGGGTGGCTCACAACTGCATATAATACAGCTCTAGGGTATCTGATGCTCTCTTCTGGCCTCAGGTTCCCACACACATGTGACACAAACACATAAAAATAAAATTAAAATAAACATTTAAAAAAAGCCAGATATGGTCTCATGTGCTTTAATCTCGGCACTGTGGAGGCAGAGACGGAGGATATCTCTGAGGATTGATGGCCAGCCAGTCTACTTGACAAGTTCCAGGCCAGAGAGTAATCGTGTCTCAAAAATAAAACAAACAAAAAACCAAAACAAACAAAAAGCAAGGTAGACAGTGTTAGATATAGGAGAGCAGAAAAAGGAAAGAGTTTAAAGTTAAGAAATAAGAACCAGAGCCAGACCTGCAACAGGCAAGGAATATGATCCTTTATTCAGGAGAACATAGGAGAGGGCTGGTACTCTCCGTGAAAACCAGGATCAGCAAAGAAAGGCAGAGCCGTCTGGATTTATACAGGAACACAGCTTCAGGAATTTGCTTGGTGCCAGTGTCCTCGGAGTATTTGAGGGTCTTCTTCCTGAGGTTATTTTCTCAGGATGAGCAGGCAAGTTATCTTATGGCACAGCAGGAGTTAAATCAGCCCTGTAAACAGTCTCTGTCAGCCAGGGAATTGACCAGTTGATAAGGCTTGATCAAAGGCCAAGCCACCAATTTAGGCCATTTGGCCACCTTGAGGAATTTATGTCCTTATGGCTTCCTTTCGGAAGCTTATGGCTCTCTTGAGATTTACATACTCTATCAGACAGTGCCTGAGGAACAACACCCTAGGTTGGTCTCTGGCCTCCACATACATGTACACCCCCCTACACACAAAGAGATACATACACAAAGAAATTTAATGGTTATATGTTTACTTTGATTAGTTTTGGAGAAATTTGTTGCCAGTACACTTCAGTATAATATGAACAAACAGTTGCTTTATAAAAATATCCATGTATCTGTACAAGTCAGAGAACCCAGGACGCAGGACCCGGGCTGTGATGCAGAGAATTAGCCCATTACAACCTGAGTTGGCACCTACTTATCTTTTGTACAGTTTACACCAGATTTTTGTCTGATATAACACAATAGTTGAGGGCCTTTTCACTCTTTATTTTAGGTTTCCTGGGTACTTTAAGGATTTTGTAAATTTTGAGTCTTAGAGGAAGTAATTGCCAACTTTTCTAAGAGAATAAACAGGGAGGAAGAGAGATGCTCCTATCCACATTTTTGCTGACCACATCATGAATTCCTAACATCAATTTCCATTGCCTGTGGCATTGACTTTCTGTCCCTCTCTCCAAGCAGAATAACCACGCTCTGATTCATATATCCCAAATAATCTGCAGGAAAGGGATGCTAGACAAGTGGGAAATCAGAGCTGAAATCTGTGGCTTTCCTTGGTATTTGCATAGTCCATCTAAAGCATGGATTCCTGATGTGGTTCCTAGAATCAGTGCTCTTTAGTTTCACATGTTGGCAGTGTAAGTGCAAACGATCAGTGGAAAGATCTAGTAATACTGAAGTATTTTAGGGCCAGCCCCACTGGTTTTTGCTGTTTCAGATGTGCTTACTACTCTCAAGTGTATTAGCCTGGAAGGTGGGGCTGGGTGAGCTGTTTTTCAGTTTCTGCACACCACACATTTTCTCATTTAAGTACATTTTACTGGAAAAAAAACCCAGGAATTTTTGGTGATAGATCTAATGAAGTGTGCCCTCTAGGAGATAATTACCAGCAAGCAGAGGAATTATGTAACATTGTAGTGGGCTTCAGATTTCCAAAGACTGGAATTCCTTCTCTGTAGACTGTGGCATGGGTCATACATTGGCTTCTTGTATAGCACCATGGAGAATTCCTCTATGTTTTATGAGAAAAGGGTGGGGGGGTGTTGAAGAAGATCTATTATTTTTTCTCAGTGCTGGGGATTGAGGCCAGGGCTTTGTCTGTGCAAAGCAACCATTCTATTATGGATTATTTTTTGATCATTGGAGTCATCTGAAGTGTTAAATAACAATTATGAAACTGATAGGAGAAAAATAATTTCACTGCATAATTACCAAGGCCTTAGTGAGATTAACTTTAACTGTAGTTACCCTCACTTCAGAGTGACAGAATAAGCTGCTTAGAGATAAAAGCATTGGGATGTGCACATTCAAAATGGAGAATCAGGAGGTTTTCCTGGGTTGGTCGCTTCTGCGGTTTTCTCATGAGCCCTTCACTTCATTGCAGTATTTCTTCCTGTGGTGCTCGAGCACGTCTCCTTCCTGCCTTCGCTTAATTTAAACGCAGGTGACTTCAGCACCAGAGATACTTGCGTTTCTTGTTTTTTCTGTGTATTTCGTATACAACATCTTAATAATCTTTGTACCCTTTTCCCCATTGGCACCCTCCCATAACACCCTCACTGGATTTCATGCATTCTGTCATTTATGTTAAGGCTTATCGAGTCAAGTTAGTATCCCCAGAAGTCCCTCAGTGCAAGTCATTCACTGAGATCTTGTCAGCCTGTCTAGAATCTCTCCCGTAAAGAAGATCCATTTTCCATCACCCAACAGTAATCAGTTTCCCAATAGTTCTTTGGCTAAGATTGGGGCCTGCTGTCCATTTCTGTAGCCCTATACTGGGTTTTTGTCTGCTTGAGTTTGCATGGGTCTTGTGCTTGCTGCCAATATTGCTGTAAGTTCATGAGCAAGGTCCCGGGAGCCTGTATGACTCTATTTCCATGTACTTCCTCCCCTGGCTCTTACATTCTTTCCACCCCCTCTTCTGCAATGGTCCCTGAGCCCTGGCTGGGTGATATTGAATATTCCTTGTGTTCTTATCTCCTTTTATTAAATACTGTACATCCTTTGGGGTCTGAGTCTAGTGTCACCTATTCCATGAAGCTACCTCAGTGACTCCAGCCCCGTCTTCCTTTGTCTAAGGTCATTTGCACCTAAAGTAATGACTTCATTATTTATCATTTAAGTTATATCATACATGGTGGCTTTTTCTCCCAGACTAGTATATAAACTCTGAGGGGATGTGACCCCCTTCTATATTTTAGAAATGTTATACTGTCTATTACAAAGTGGACAGATTGATCTTCAACAAATCTTCAGTGATCAGTTGATTTAAAATGAAGTAATATTTTTTCTTTCCCTCTTAAGTATTTTATACATAGCTATTGTTTCATAATTACCTGAATGAAGGTAAGTTGAAAATGTGGTAAACTAACATTGAAGTGAAGAACTTCATTTCTTAAAGGTGGAACTTCCACATCACTCCGTTTGCTAACTAATCTTAGATTTGACTTCTCTAATCTGTAATTTCTTCATCTCCGAAAATAACAAGTCATGGTTTGGCCACTTGCGTTCTGTAGTTTTGTGGTGAAAGTGTGCATGTCGAGAAGTGTGGTTACTTCCTACTTTGTGATTCACTGTATAGGAAGGAGCTTGTGAACATCTAACATAAATTTTACTTAATTTCTGAAATTTCTGTTTTCATTAGTCAAGATGTTATAAATATATGTGTGTGTGTATACACAGCTAGAACGGTGTCCCAAGGGTTCTACATTTTTTATAGCACTGCCAACTGGGGTCCAAGTGTTCAAACATATATTATTTATTTCTATGTATGAATGTGTGTGTGTGTGTGTGTGTGTGTGTGTGTGTTTCTTATGGGGATCAAATCCAGGGCCTTAGGCAAGCCAGGCAAGTACTGTACACTAAACTACATGATCAGCCCATTATTTTCTTTTCTGAACCATCTTTCTAGTGTGGTTCCAAGAGAAACTAATTACTTTGCTTCTCACTTTTATTTCCAGAGTAGGTGGTTGCAGTAACTCCATTTTTACCTTGTAAAGTTTGACTTGAACTAGGTGCTAACATCTTAATGTTGGGATAACAATTTTTTAGTGGCTGAAGTAAAGGATTGATCCTTCTGCAATGGCAGAAGTCAGAATACTTCAGCACCTTCCCTGAAGACCTGTTTTCAGGGACAGTAGTGCTTGGGTTTGGGTAATAGTATTCTTGCATTTTGTGGGGTTGGATTGCAGAACATATCAGTGTTGTGTTGTTTTGTAGAGAACTGTCCAGATCAAAACCCCCGTCTCAGGAACTGGGATCCAGGACAAGATTCTGCAAAACACGTTGTTATCAAGGAGGGTGATATGTTTCGCCTGACCTCAGATGCCACAGTGAATTCTATAGTCATTCAGGATGGAGGTGAGTAATAGTCCCTGCCTGTGGTGGATATTTGCTGGTCCTTATGTAGAACATTCTTCTTAGGTGGACTCACCTTTATGATACAGTGTCACTCTGACTCTAGAGATATGTTAAATTGCTAAGTTTGAACCATAGAATTTAAGTGCTATCAGTGCCTTAGAAATACTTTCTCATAGCTCTGTTTTGGTGCAACTGATGAGCGTTAACTTAGATTACCATGGCACCACTTTTCTCATTGCTGTGATCAAATACTTAACACATTGAGGTGGCAGACAGGAAGCAGAGAGCTGGGATTGGAACCAGAGGGAATATCACCTTTATGTCTCTCCCCTAATGACCCACTTCTATTAGCTAGAACACTATCCCAAGGGTACCACGACTTTTAAAACTAAGCTGCCAGCTGTGGTCCAAGTGTTCAGACACATGAGCCGTGGGCCACATTTCCTAGTTAACCGTATGTATAAAAACCATATATGGGCCTGGAGAGATGGCTCAGTGGTTAAGAGCGCTGACTGGTCTTGCAGAGGACCTGGGTTCGGTTCCCAGCACCCACATGGCAGCTATGAACTGTCCTTAACTCAAGTTCCAGGGGCATCTGAAGCCCTCTTCGGTTTGAATCCCAGCACCCACATGGAAGTAATAACTGTCTGTAACTCCAGTTCCAGGGGATCCGATGGCCTCTTTATGTCCTCTGTGGGCATTGCATGGCACAAGTGCACTTACCTACATGCAAGCATACACTCATACACATAAAATAAAAATAATAAATAAAATATTTTTTAAAAACCACATATAAAAATGAGATATATTTATAGATTCATTTTTAATATGTAGAGATAGGATTCTTCATTTTTCTTTTCTTTGGCTTTGAAAACTAGTTTAATTTTCTAAACGGACTCTCTTAATTTTCCTAAGCTAGTTGGGGGGTGTATTTTATTTCCTCATTAAGGTATTAGGAGAAAATAAAATTAATGTACCTTAAGGTGTATTTTATTTCCTCCTATTTATCTGTCTCAGAATGATGTTTTGGAATTTGACTTACATAGTGCTGTTCCTACCTTGCAGGACTGCTTGTTTTTGGGGATGATAAAGATGGATCCAAAAATATTACCTTGAGGACTCGTTCCATCCTGATCCAGGATGGTGGGGCGCTTCATATTGGAGCAGAAAAATGCCGCTATAAATCTAAAGCGACAGTTACCTTGTATGGCAAGTCAGATGAAGGTGAAAGTATGCCAACATTTGGCAGAAAGTTTATTGGCGTGGAGGCTGGTGGGACGCTGGAGTTACATGGGGCCCGGAGGACGTCCTGGACGATGCTGACCAGGACTCTGAATTCCTCTGGCTTGCCTTTTGGTTCCTATACTTTTGAAAAGGACTTTTCCCGGGGCCTCAATGTGAGGGTCATTGACCAAGACACAGCCCAAATTTTGGAAAATGACAAATTTGATACCCATGAGTACCAAAATGAGAGCAGGCGACTTCAAGAATTTTTGAGAGTCCAGGATCCAGGTCGGATTGTGGCTATTGCCGTTGGAGATTCAGCTGTCAAGAGCCTGTTACAGGGAACAATCCAGATGATCCAGGACCGGTTGGGAAGTAAGCTGATCCAAGGACTTGGCTACAGGTAGGCAGGCCATGTTCTTTTCTTCCGAGCTCTGTGCTAGAGTCTACACCCGTGAAAGCAGAGAAGGTAGGAAAAGAAGCACCCACCACTGCCCCTGTCTCCGCTGGCTGGTGGCCACTCCCATCAGTTCATCTGATTGTCTCTTGTTTGAACAGTGGCTTGAACAACTGGATGTGGTACACAGAGCCTGTCTTGTGAACTGTCTGTAAGGCCAGCAAAGAGCACAAATGTACTGAGAACCAAAAGGAATAGTAAAGATAATTTGTCTTGGAAGAGACTTCCTCTTTTCATTACTTTCAGAGCATAATGAAATGCTCAGAAATGAAGACGTTGTCGTCTGGGTTCATTGAGGCAGCTTAGGAATTGAAAGGTTAAGGCAGAGTTCCATGCTACAGTGTGAAACCTATCACAAGCCCAAAGGGGCCGGCATGCTCAGGGTCCTTTTCTTTCTCTTTTGAAATCTTTTTTATGCTTTTTTTTTTTTTTTTTTGTCTTTTTGAGACAGGGTCTCCTTGTAGCCCCAGCTGTCCTGGAACTCACTATGTAGACCAGGCTGGCCTTGAACTCACAAAGATCCGCCTGCCTCTGCCTTCCGAGTGCTGGGATTAAAGGCATGCGCCACCACGACCGGCTAATTTGAATCTACTTGCTTGACTGGCTCAGGTCTGTAGAATTCTGGCATACAAGAGGCAGCCAAACATTGGAGAGCTAATATACGCATCCTGACATTGAACCACGATTTCCTAATGCAGCCTGGATGCTAACTGAAGTAGCTGGCTTGCCAGTTAATTAAGAAAGCAGAAGTTACAATTCTGCTGAATGTTCTTAGGAATGTTAGGAAATATCTGTAGTGACAGAAGCAAGAGGATGTCAACATCCACATACTGAAATGACATATTTGGTTTTCCTTCTAAGGATGCAGTATTATTAGTAGAAATTCGAGGAGGTAAAAGTAAGTGAAGGAAAAGGTTATATATCACCTTAGGTATGCGGTTTGTTCACCCTTGGGAGATGCTAGATGCTGGATGCCATCAATATTCAGATGAAAGGACATGGCCTGAGGGCCCTTGTTTAGCATGATCAACAGAGACCTACAAAGATAAATCACTTAGTGAGACCTATAATGGGTTGTAATCTATAGTGGGAACATAAGTGGAAAGAATCTCTAAATTGGTGAGGGGAGTCAGGTATACTGTTATGAACCTGTAATCTCAGCACTTGAGAGATTGAGGCAGGATGGTAGCCCTCTGACCAGCCTACAGAGACGGGGGAGAGAAGGAGAGGGAGAGAGAGAGGAAGAAGGAGGGAGGGAGGAAAGAGGGAGAGAGAGAGAGAGAGAGAGAGAGAGAGAGAGAGAGAGAGAAATTGAAAAGATAAGAACAAAAGCCACCAAGGAAGAATTGACATGGGGAAGTAATAGGCAGGCTTCCCAAAGACTAGAGGCCTGGAGGAACTCTAGATAGCTGTGAAGATAGCCAAGGAGAATGGCTATCTAGACAGGATACCAGGAGTCAAGTCCCAGAGTTTTTACCTGATAGTATTCTAGCAGAGAAGTGGTAGAATGAGAATGTTAAGTTTAGTGATGGATTATTAGACAATCCCTGTGTAGTCATCACTCAGGCCAAGAACTAAAGCTGCCAGCAGAACCCCCCCCCCCCAACTGCTATGCACTGACCACTCCTCCCATTTTCAAAGAACCATTCTCCTGAATTTGGAGATATCGTAAGGTTTAGGTTTGCCTGTTTTTGAACTTCATATAAGTGGCAGCAGACAAAATATTTTGTGTCTGGCCTTTTTTTTTCATACAGAAAAATTCATTTTAAATACAATTGACACTAAGATGCACATGCGTTTCTAATCTATATATCTGATTATTACTAGTCACAGTCAGTTACTTTCTGAGCCCCTTGCTCATGTTACAGAATGTCGTTGATATTGCTACATGTAGCACTGGCTTATCTTCACTATTGTTTCTTTTCTGGCTAATGACTATCCCACAATTTATTTACTGTGGACAGTTGGATGGCTTTCCAGTTTGGACCAGTGTGTTATAAGAAGTGTTTCTGTAACTGTTCCCTTACTTATCTCTTGATGCATGTGTGCTTGTACTTCTGTAATACATGGACCGAGGAGTGGAAACATGCTCTTTCCAAAGTTACATACTTACTATGTCAGCATCCTTTCATTGTGACAAAAGAAATGCCTGACAAAATCCCAACATAGACTTCGGAAAATGGGTAAGAAACCCAAACTGTATCTGAGGAACTACTGGCGACTGGGAAGGGGAGGTTCAGTTTCATTTAAGGGTAAGACTTTTAGTAGGTTGACCAGGCTCCAGTGAATTAACCCACACTGAAGAGCATTTGGAAACACAAACTTGATATTATAGGCATATATGTATGAAAATAGAGCATAGTTAAAAAGTGGGGGATACAGATATAGGAGGGAATCCAAAGATGAACAAAATATATTGTATAAAATTCACAGAAAATAAAATAATAAAAACAGTGTCTGAGACAGTCAACTTGTGAGGAGGAAAATTAATTGTGATTCACAATTTGAGAGGTTTTAGTTCATGGTCACTTGGCTCTGTTGCCTCAGGCCTGTGGCAAGGCAGAGAACAAGATGATGAGGAGCAGGTAGTGGGGCGAAGATGCTTATGTCATGGTGCCCAGGATGTAGAGAGAAAGAGGGATCTGGGAGTCCCAATATTCCTGTAAAGACATGCCCTCAATGACCTAACTTCTTTCCACTAAATCCAAGCTCTCTCTTTTTAAAGAGTTTATTTTTATCTATGCGTATGTATGTGGTAAGTATGTGCAAGTGTGTGCAGGGGCCCCCAGAGACCAAAAGAGGGTATTGGATCCTCCGGAGCTGAAGTTACAGGTGGTTCTGAGCTATGTGACGTGGGTTCAGGGAATTGAACTTTGGTCCTTTGAAAGAGCAGCAAGTGGTTTTAACTTCTGAGCCACCTCCCTAGCCCATACCCTCCCCTGGAAACAAGCCTTCCACGCCTGGGCCTTTGGGGAACTTCTACAATCCAAACATATCACCCTTTGCTTCTTTATATAGTAGTGGCAGCACTTAGGGATTCTGTCCCTTCATGCTGTCCTTGCTTCTGGGTTTGTGTCACCACTAGCTGAGACTGTCTTGACTTTGGTACCTCTGTCTACTGAACTGGTTTCTTAATTTCTTTTAAAATATTACTACCCATTTGATGGAGGAATTAGAATCTTGTTCTTTCATCAGCCTTCCATTGTGTCGCCATTATCTCTTACATACATAAACATGCACCCCTTTGAAGATAGTGCTCTACTGCATTGACATTTTCCAGAAGTGGAGGAGGGAAGTAGGAGTGTTTTTTAGATAATGTGAGTAGACTGGAGCATTGTTTTATAGTTGCTTAGGCAGTGCTGGTAAATAAAGGAAGCCTCTGACATTCTTTTCCTTCCCTCTCAACTGGAAGATAATAACTTCAGACATTCTTTATTTGATCCTTTCTGCTGTATCAAAGGATATAAACAGAGCTCTACCTCGTTCTCAGCCAAAGGGGTAGCTAATCCATGCAGGGGCAACTGTGGGACTTACAAGGGTGCAGGCAGGCTTTAGTGAACTTTTATCTGGGAATATCTAGCCATCTGTCTGGCGTGGATTACATTTAGTACTTTTTTACAAAGTAGGAAGTTCACATTTTTCTTTTCATGTTTTGAGCCAGGAGGCCTAAGGCACATTTTCTGGATTTTTGTTACTGTAATTTTTCTCTGACTAATTTTGGACACAAGCTTGAGCAAGTCCCTCGGATGTTTAGTATTAATGGAAGTTGGATGGCATTTTAAAATACATTGCTTTCTGTAGATGATCAGATGTAAAATTAAGAATCTGTTGGATCACAGTTTTGCAGTTTTAAAAATGTATGGAAACCTCTAACTCAGTGATTCTCAACCTTGTCCATATACCAAGAAACATTAAAAAGTGCTGCTGCCTAGGGAGTCTTAGGCCAGATTGTTTATTATTGCTGTAAACTGTGATCTCCAAATTAGGATGTATGGTGTGTGTGTGTGTGTGTGTGTGTGTGTGTGTAAGTGATACATGTGTCCACATTTATGTAGGTATGTGCACATGTGTGTGCAGGTACACATGCACATGTGTGCGTGTTGAGGCCAGAGGATGACATGACCTCGAGTATCCTTCTTAGTCACTTCCTACCTCATTTTTGAGAGAAGGTCTCTCACTGAACCTGGAACTCATAGATTTAGCTAGTCTGTCTGGCTGGCCAGTGAGCCACAGTGAGCTTGTCCCCACACCCCATCACTGGGACCACAGATGTTTGCCACTGGACCCTGCCTTTACGTGCATGCTGGGGATCTGAACTCAGGTCCTCAGGCTTGGTAGGAAGATTTTCACTGAGGGACCCAGCTCCCCAGCCTAAGGTTCTCAGAGCATAATTAGCAGCATCATTGGCACCACTGAGGAACTTGTTAGAATTACAGATTGTTTGGCCCTTCCACTCTCAGGCTGTACTCAGCAAGCAGATTTAAAGGGCCCTTCTGATGCTCACTAAGCAGCAAGTAGATTTAAAAGGCCATTCTGATGCTCACTAAAGCTTGAGGACTGCTGCTCAGCTCAGTGTTTCTCACATCCACCTGCACATTCAGATGCCCAGAACCCCCAGCATTAGCTTTTAAAGTTCCCAGGCACCTGAATGTGCCCTGAGTTTTATCCTCACTACTGCAGTGTCAACCACACAAAGAAAAATGTAACAACATGAGAAGCATTGTGTGATGCTAGTAGAGGCAAGAGGATCAGGAATTCAAGATCATCCTCTCACCTACACAGTGAGTTCAAGGCCAGCCTGGGTTACCTTAAGACCCTGTCTCAAAAACAAAACCAACCATGAACAAATGAAAACCAAATAACTAAGAGAGCAGATGAAATCCTTTAGGAGACTGGCTAGGAGCAGGCATGCATGAGATGGTTGTGTTTCGAGGAAGGAAATCCACAATTATTTGAAGCCCCAGGCATCCCTGTTTCACCAGTGGGAGCTGAAGAACAAGTTTCTGAAAACCAGATGCATTTCCTTCTGTGATGTCAGTTCCTTAGAACAAGTCTGAACTGTGACTTCATGGAAAAAAGAGTCAAAAATGAAATACCAGAATTGAACACCAGCATACCATCATGTGTCAGAGGCTTGTCATTCCCATGACAAATAATCAAGTGTGCATGGTCTTTTCTTTTCTAGGCAAGCTTGGGCTTTGGTTGGTGTCATTGATGGTGGGACCTCTTCTTGCAATGAATCTGTGAGGAACTATGAAAACCATAGTAGTGGCGGGAAAGCTCTGGCCCAAAGAGATTTCTACACCGTAGATGGCCAAAAGTTCTCTGTGACAGCCTACAGTGAGTGGATTGAAGGTAGGCAGATGCAGTCTAAACTTTTGTGAGACTTGGTAAGTATTATGATAGGCGGGTTTAGAGCATTATGGTATTCAGATGCCTAACTCGTTGGCTTTGTCAGCTAGGTCAGGTTGAAACTTCTTTAGTCTTGTAGACTTGTTCTTTCTAGATAAGGATCTGTTCCAGTTTAGGCAACCCTACTTGGACTTTGTTCTTGATCTGAGTCACAACATATGGAAGTTAATCTCAACTCTTAACTACAAAGATCTACAGTGCCTGATCTCTGAGTTTGCCTATGGGGGATTCTCTTGATTAGGTTAACTGAGGTGGAAAAGACCTGCCCACTTTGAGTGGCAACATTCCTCAGACTGTATAAAAAGGAGACAACAAGCTGAGCACAAGCATTCATTGCTCTTATCTTCCTAATTGTGGACAGTGTGAGACCAGTGCTTCAGCTCCTGCTGTCTTGACTTCCTCACCATGATGGGGAATGCTTTCAACTGTGAGCCCAGGGACACCCTTCCTTAAGTTGCTTTTCTCAGAGTATTTTATCACAGCAACAAGAAAGTAACCAAGACACATAATAGAAATGGTTTTATTTCTTGGCTTTGACCAATTGGATCAATCTGAACAGGTTGGTGAGCTGTCTTTAGTGTGCACTGAATGTGTGCACTGAGCATGATTTTATACTTTGAATCGTTTCCTTAGACGGGACAGCAAATACTACCCTTGACCACATGCAGTGGGAAAAAAAAATCCTACTTTATTACTTAGTTTTTTCCCTTGATAATCTAACTAAAATGTTTATCTTATGACAAGTGGAAAACATAGACGCACACAAAAATTAATTTTTAGTCATATTATTCAGAGATGATTTTTTCAGTACACAAAATTCCAGGATTTTAAAATTTTAAGTGTATTCTCCATTTTTTTGACATGTTTTTCTAAAACACTCATCTTAAGCCTTTTGAAAAAATTTTATCACATTGATTTTGTGTGTGTGTCCCCGTGTGTGCATGCACACACACAGCACATGTGGAGGTCAGAAGTCAGCTTAGAGTTGGTTCTCTCCTTCCACCATGTGGGACCTAGTGTTCAAACTCAGTTTGGTGACAAGTCCCTTTACCTGCTGAGCCATCTTGCTGGCCCCTTAAATCTTTGAATCATCTTCAACCTGTATTTTCACTATAATCCTTTTTAAAAATTTTTATTTATTATTTTTATTTTATGTGTATGTGTATATTGCCTGCATGTAGATAAGTGGACCCATGTTGTGCAATGTCCACGGAGGTCAGAAGAGGCTGTCAAATCCCTGGGACTGGAGTTATGGACAGTTGTTAACTGTCATGTGGGTGTTGGGATTCGAACCCTGGTCTTCTGCAAGAACAATCAGTGTTCTTAACCTCTGAGCCGTCTCTCCAGCTTCTACTATAATCTTTTTAAAAGAAACAGACTGTTACTCTGTGGCCCAGGATGCTATGATTTGCCTAATGCTTATTAGCACTGGGTATTTAGGGAGCGTCTGATTTTGATTGTGGAATTTCTTCATTTGCCTACTTTGTTGCTGGATTGTTTTCCATGTTAGTTATGGATTGCCCCCCCGACCCCTTTTTAAAATCTGTGCTTGTCCATCACCTTTTCTAAGTGCGTATTGTACCCAAATTAATGTGAGATGAGTAAAATTAAGAGATGCCACTATATCTGTAATTACCCAGAATTGAGCAGCAATGTAGCAAACAAAGTGTTGGTTAACTTAGATTGTTGTTTACTTTAAAAACAAATAAATGGAACCTCTGATATGTGACAAGAGCCTTCACATATTGCCTCTAAGCAACCTGGGTTTGGGTGAGGAGATGGTATCTGTGATGGAAAACAAGCCCTAGCCTCTGTCTTCAGGATCACTCCTGCAATCTTTCTACCATGCTGCAGAGGCCTCTGGCAACAAGCACAGGCAGTGAGCAGCAGGTCCTAGCAGGAGTGGTCCTGTAAGTGTTTAATTCTCTCCGGGGACGTTCCCAGCAGGAGGCGACTACTTTCTGACCCTGAATCAACATTTCCTGTGTAAGAACTAGGAACCTTCATTTCCGCATCACAGTGCCTGCTCATTTCTGAAAGAGGGATCACTCTTTTTATCTGTCATGAGCTATTGTTTGTGCCTAGTGTTCTCCTGACTCTTACTTTCTGGAAGAGGTAGAAATTAGCCCCAGGAAGTGGGGAGATTGAATTTATTTCCTTTCAAACTTCAGTTGAGCAGTACTTGTAGGAGATAATTATAGGCAAGATTTTTCTCCTAAGCTTTAGAAAAAGTAAGAAATTATTAAACACTGAAGTTTTCCCCTGTACTTTGACTATTTTTTAAACAGAAATAAATTCAAATAACTTTTCAAATCAAAGCTTATCTAGTATTGTGTTTTAGGGGCTGGAGAGATGGTTCAGTTGGTAAGAGCACTGGCTGCTCTTACAGAGGACCTAGGTTCGATTTCCTTGCACCCACCTGGCGGCTAACAACTCTCTGTAACTCCAGTTCCAGGGGATCTGACACCCTCTTCTGACCTCTGTGGGCATTGCATGACATGGGTGTACCTACATACATCCAGTCAATACACTCATAAACATAAAATAAAAATAATAAATAAAATATTTTTAAAAGCTTACCTAGTATTGTATTTTGAAAAAAGTATTTGGAATTTCATGTGGAAAAAATTATTTCCTAGTTGCTCCCTTTTATGGAGTATTTTATTTTTATAAAGCCTCAGATTTTGGATAATGTTTTGTTGTCCTGGATTTTGTTTATCTTTGTTCTTAAGCTCTTTCTGTCCTTGGAAAGAGGTATGGTATAGAGATGTAACGAATTTAGTCCTGGAGTTAAATTATCATTCAGTTCTGGACTCTAGCATTTTTTTAAAGTGATAATTCCAACTGCTATTCAAACTCTTAGAACTTTGTTTTCTTCATCTCTAATGAATATAATAATTTCTCTCTCAAAATTATTTCAATGAAAGGCTATTACATCTATTAGTGGTTATGGGATTTATTATTCTTTATATTATTTTCAGGTCCAATCACATTATGTGCTATAGCAAATGTGGATGCAAAAAACATTGAGAAAAAGCACACTACATTTACTAGGTATTCATTATGCATGTGTATGTGTGTGTGTACACACACATACACACGCACACGAGTACTTTGCAGAAAATAAAAAAGCAGGGCAGACTAGAGTCTATAAAAAAGAATTTAGTACTTGGCTAGGTTAGATTTTATCTGGGTAGTTCACTCAGATTGCAAGGCCATCCGAATTATTCCTCCTTCCATGTGAATTTCCTTTCTTCTGACTCTCCCAGCTTGAGTAGGTGTTTTCTTCTGCTCATCATAATCCTTTTGAGCCAGCATCTTCTTTTGAGAATGATGATGGAGAAGCAACAGCAATCTTTAAAATGGAGAGTTTCCTTCTGTTGGTGTGATGAAGTAGCTGTCCTCAATTCCAGATGCATTTCATGAGCTCAGCTTTTAAGTCTTATAGATTATTTCATGGATGTTGTAGAAACAAGAAATGCTTCAGTACTGTATTGTGTATAAATAAAAGCATAAGCTGGATTAACTCATCACTTCTTTGCTTGATTGGGAACCAGCTTTTACTTTTTTGTTTTTTGGGTTTTTTTTTTGGAGACAGGGTCTCCCTATTGTCCCAGCTGGCCTGGATCTCCCTATGTAGACCAGGCTGACCTCAATCTCACAGAGATCCACCTGCCTCTGCCTCCTGAGTGCTGAGGCTAAAGGTGTGCAGCACCACGGAAAGACCACCTATTAGTAGTCATTAGGTTGCATAATTTGTAGTACATCATCTCGAGGCCAAAGGAGCTAAATTGGACAGGTGCACCACCATATGCCTTCAGGTCACACAGCAAGTTAAACTGGTTATATTCATCCATTCAGCAGACACCACTAGTCTGTACTGTGAAGAAGAAAGAGCCATGAATACGTGAGTGGATGCACCTGCTGCCATCACTAATGCACTACAAAGAGGTGACTGGTCTGCCACAGGGAAGGTCTAAACATTACCAATGAGAAAGCATAAGGCCCAGAAGAGAGGCTACTTCCAGCAAGGATATTAGGGAGGCTTTTCTGCATTTTATAGTGGGGTTTGTCTTACAGGCCTATGTGCCCCCTCTACAAGTTTCAGCAGTGCTGGGGACTCTAACTCAGGGCCATTGGTGGGAATCTTCCAAATTTTAAAAGAATGGTTCACTCACATGACAATTTGGGTCATAGCTGGTAGTACATGAACTTTCTTTTTCTTGAGGACACATAGTTAGCATTAGGAAAAAGTTGAATTGTGTTTATCTTTGTTTTTGATTGCTAAGTCAGGGACATGGTTGACTTTTAGGGGAAAAAAAATCTCTTCTGTTAACACCTCACTCTTTGTTTGTTCAGGAATTTCTCTCTCGGGTTTCCGGGTGGAGATTGTGGATGGAGTAAAGCTCCACCTGTCAGATGATGTCAGCAGTTGGAAAGCTGGAGACCAGATTGTGATAGCAAGCACCGACTACTCCATGTACCAGGCTGAGGAATTCACACTTCTCCCCTGTCCTGAGTGTAGCCGATTCCAGGTCAAAGTCAAAGGTATCGATTGGGTGGCTCAGAGTACTTCTTGGGAAACGCATTCTGTTTTTGGGGATGTGAGTCCTGAAGCCTCTTTCCAGCACCACTCGTAGTTAAAAGGGAGCCAGATAGATACTTTCATTGGACTTTATTTCCTATCATAACATTGAATAATACGTACTTTGAAAGTGATCAGTGCATAAAATGGTTCTTATTGTGAGCTCTGTGTGGAAAGAGCTAGATATTCATTCCTGAGGCCCCTTAGATGGTTTCTGCACACATTTCATTCACGTTGCTTCTTTGCTTAGGTAAGCAAGGTTACACGGTGATGCAGCGAAGCAAAAGCTGAGTCTCCGTTCAAGAAGCAGTTCACTCTTCAGTAAGGAGAGTCTTGAAGTTTGAAACTTTTGAAAAAAATTGAAAATAAAAAGCTTTGTAAAATATAAGTAGAATGCTTGGCTTAGTTGGCACTTTTTCCTTTATTTTATTCAGTTTCATGTTTTTCCCTCTTTTGATAATACTAGGCACATGCAAAACACACACACACACACACATACACACACACACACACAGACACACACACACACAGACACACACACGGAATAATCCCAAGTAATGATGATACCATCCATCATTAGTACTTTCGGGAATCCCCACTCTACTTGGAAATGAGTCTTCAAGGACTTCTGTTCCTATTTATTATCTTTCTTTTTCCTATGTATAAGATCATCAGAGAAAAAATTCATTTTTAAGATGCTTGTACACTTCCAGGAAAGATAGGCATTTGAAAGCATATAGAATAACTATAACAGTAAGTGGAAAAGAAAAGATGACAGATTGATTCAGTGGGGTTAGTGTTCAAATGCTGATTACTTGCTGTGAGGTAGGAGTGCAGAGTGACAGTGATAGAAGGACTGTCCTTTGTTTCCAGAGCTGTCCTTGTTTTCTCAAGAGCATTTGTTTAATAAGGCCCCCTTGCATTTGGGTCTTCATATGTCCTCGGGGTCAGAACAAGGACAGAGAGAAGTATTGCACAGGTCCAAGATCATTGGTGCTAATCAAGGAAGGGCTGAGCTCCTCAGGGTGGGCAAGCCCTTGTCCCTGTCTCGGTGTGAGAAGTGACCGGGCAGCAACAGGGGTTCGGGCTTTGGGTGGCAGTTGGATTAGGCAATCTTTAAAAGTCCTGCTTCTGGGATTCCAGTCTTGAGGTGTTGAAGTGGTAGAGACAGCAAGTTCCTGATGTTGTCTTGAGGTGGGAAAATGAGGAAGAGGGCCTTTTTGGTGTTCCTCATATTCTTTTCTTTGTTCTGACATTCTTCCTTCGTCCACATCACCAGAGACACCCCAGTTCCTGCACATGGGTGAGATCATAGATGGGATAGATATGAGAGCTGAGGTTGGAATTCTCACCCGGAACATTGTGATCCAAGGAGAAATGGAGGACTCATGCTATGGAGAAAATCAGTGCCAGTTCTTCGACTATGACACCTTTGGGGGACATATCATGGTGGGCAAAGGATTTGGATTTCTTTGAAATCTTAGTTGCTAAGTACTAAGAATTCTTAAGTTGCTAAAAAGCTTTCAAGTGGTGGGATTCTATATATATACAAATATGTATATATGGATATTAAAAAGACATTTTATTTCTCTTTAAAATACTATGAAGATGCTAAAAACAAAAACAAAACCAAAACCAAAAAAAAAAAAGGAGAACCAAGTGTACATGTTTGTGATCCCAGAACTTGGAAGACTGAGGCAAGAGGATCAGGAGTTCAGGACCAGCCTTGGCTACACAGGGAATTTGAGGCCAGCCTATGCTATCTGAGATCTTGTATCACAAATAAAGAAGGAAGAAAGGAAGGAAATAAAGTTGCACCTTTATTTAAGTAGTCTGGACTAAGTTGAACCATTTTAAGAATTGTTTCATGAAGAATTAAATCAATGTATTGGAAAGACACATACAAAGACAAGATCACAGTGATATTGGTATCCATGCACGCAATTTGTGAATTTCTTGGTTGATTCCTTCCTTCCTTCCTTCCTTCCTTCCTTCCTTCCTTCCTTCCTTCCTTCCTTCCTTCCTTCCTTCCTTCCTTCCCTCCCTCCCTCCCTCTTTCTCTTTTTTTCTTTCTAAAAAAATTATTTATTTGGTATGTATACGTGTGTGTACCTGTATGAGTTCATTTGTACCATGTATGTGAAAGTGCCTGCAGAGGCCAGAGGGTGTTGGACCCCCTGGAATTGGAGTTACAGGCAGTTGTAAATTGCCATGTGGGTGCTGAACCCATATCCTCTTCAAGAGCAGTAAGCATTTTGACTGCTGAGCTGTCTCTTCAGCCTCCATGTCTTGGTTTCTTAAAGAGCATGATATTATTAAAGTGTAAACAGTAGTCGTATGCACATAAAAAATATGATTCTGTAAACAAAAAATTTATATGCAGATTTAAAAAATTATTTTTATATTATGTATATGAGTGTATTGCCTGCATATATGTGAGTGCACTCATGTTGTGCAATGCAGAAGAGGGCATCAGATTCCCCTGTAACTGGAGTTAAAGATGGTTTGTAGCTGCCATGTGGGTGCTGGGAATCAAACCCAGGTCCTCTGCAAGAGCAGTCAGTGCTCTTAACCACTGAGCCATCTCTCCAGCCCCCAATATGCAGATTTTTTTGTTTTTGTTTTTGAGACAGGCTCTCACTATGCAGCCCTGGCTGACCTGGAACTTGCTATGTAGACCAAACTGGCCTCAAATTTACAGAGATCCACCTGCCTTTGCCTCCTAAGTGCTGGGATTAAAAAAGATATGTGTCACCATGCCCTGCCTCTGTATGCAGATTTTTCTTCTGGAAAATAATGAACACTATTCTGTATACCAAGTTATTGGACATCTGGTCTGCATGAGTTTGAGATCTCTCTGCACTGGGTAGCCTATGATTATTGGCAACATTTCTGATTTACTGGTTGGGGAAATTGCTGGTGCAGCATTACTGCTTTCTTTTAGTTATATGGTTGAAAATTCAGTGCTTAAAAATATTGCATGCACTCAAATTTTGATCATAGGGGGATTTTCGCATTTTATAGGGGAATCTTTAAAGACAACTTATACAAGCACCCAAGCATTGGCAGAGGATTTAGAAATAAGTGTCTGTCTAGCTATGGCAGAGGTTACAGAAATGAAAAGACGAGACTACAGGTGACCAAATATAGATAGTCTCTGATGTGTTTGAATAATTAGTTTGACTTTATTATGATGCAAAGGTAATATGCATTCACGTCACCTTACTCCAAAGTTAGAATCTTTTCTTGAGCTGGTGATGTACAGTCTGATACTCTGTGGAGATCTGGGGCAGGGGCAGTGAGCTGCAGCTTCTGTCAGCCACGTGACCTCCAGAGAATGTCTGCATACTGCAGTGCACTCTGTTGCTGGCTAAAGTGGTCTGTGGTGAGGTGGGTTCAGTTTACTTTCAGATTATGATAGTTTCAACTTAACAGTGGTTTTGTCATGTTGCAGTCCCATTTACATTGTTGAGTTGTACCTGTGTTTGAGCAAATCAAACACATACGCAGATGGCTGTGGTGGCACACATTTGTAATCTCGGGACTCAGGAGGCTGAGGTTAGTGGATTGCTGTAAGATCGAGGCCAGCTTGAGCTACATAGTGAGTACCAGGCCAGCGAGAGCTACAGAGAAAAGACCTTGTCTGGAAAACAAAAGTAACACAAGAACAAAGCACCCCACCCGCCTATATAAAGAGAAATCGGTTTTGTAGTTTTCCTTGTTTCATTTCTCTTTATTCCCTATTAGAATCTAATGTCGGCTCTTTGAAGTAGTTGTCCACGTAAAGAAGCATTTGCCATTCTTGTGCCTTTTGTGGTGCCGGGGATCAAATTGGGTTCTCACACATGTCAGATACTTTACCACTGAGCCCCTAAGGTGCTGAATTACTAAGTGGAGCTCTGGAAAAGAGCTGCTTTTATTTTATTTTGGTGTGTGTGGGTGTGCATGAATGAGTGCTGGTAAAGATGTACATGTACGTGTGTGTGTAGGCCGGGGGTCATTCTTGAGTAATGCTCCTTGGGAGCCATCCACCTTGAATTTTGAGACTTGATTGCTAATTGAGACCTGGGGCTCACTAATTAAGCTAAGATGGCTGACCAGGAAGCACCAGGGGTCTTCCCGTCTTTGACTCCCCAGAGCTGGGATTGCAAACGTGACCCCTTGGTGGGGATGTTGGGGATTGAAATCAAGTCTATGTTTGCACAGCAGGCATTTGCCAATTGAGCTATCTTCTCAGGCTCCAAAATATTCTAACATGTATATTTTCTATTTTTTTAAAGAAATATTTTATTACTTTTATTTTATGCATATGGGTGTATTGCCTGCATGTGTGTAAGTGCACCTGTGTTGTGTAATGCCCTCAGGGGTCAGTAAAGGGTGTTGGATCCCTGGAACTAGAATTCTGGACGGTTGTTAGTTGCCATGTGAGTGCTGGGATTTGAACCCAGGTCCTTTGCAAGAGTAGCCAGTGCTCTTAACATCCTGAGCCATCTCTCCAGCCCCTAACATGTATATTTTCTGCTAAATGATATATATGCATATTTGTTGCTTCTTTCTTGTTCTGAAAAGATTCAGCTTGACTTGGAATACTTTGTTTCATAGATAGAGAAGAATTTTACTTCAGTCCATCTCTCTTATGTGGAGTTGAAGCACATGGGTCAGCAGCACCTGGGGCGCTATCCTCTGCATTTTCATCTGTGTGGAGACGTGGATTCTAAAGGAGGCTACAGACGCCCAGCATCTGTGGATGGCCTGTCCATTCATCACTGCTTCTCCAGGTGTATCACAGTACATGGGACCAGTGGCTTGCTAGTAAGTAGCCTCACATTCTGCTGACATGCATCATTTGTCATTGCAACATTAACTCTCTAAATCTCAAGACTTCTTTATATCACACGTTAGCTGTTTTACCACATGCCATGCTCTAAATTTGCTCTTACTGAGGAAGCCTATTGTTTTTTTTCATCTGTATCATCTTACATGAGAAATAAAACCTGATATTTGATTTTTGCCTGTCTTCTGAGATTAAAATTTTCTTTCTGCCTTTTTACTGAGTGTGCCATACTGAGTAGTACTCGTCAGTGAAATCCCAATCTGTCTTCTTTCTAATGACAGTATGCACTTACATTTCTACAGATAAAAGACACCATTGGATTTGACACGCTGGGTCATTGCTTCTTTTTGGAAGATGGTGTTGAACAGAGAAACATTTTGTTCCATAATCTGGGGCTTCTTACCAAGCCGGGCACACTCCTCCCCACAGATAGGAACAATTCCATGTGCACCACCATGCGAGACAAAGTGTTTGGAGACTACATCCCTGTGCCTACCACGGACTGTATGTGAGTAGCAGAGGGAGAATCATGTGTGGTGGTCAAGTCCTTTGACTTCTGGGGACAACATAGGGGAGGTTTTAGTGGATAGGATTTTTCATGAAGAGTGTCTAAATTACCTTCAACAATGCCTTGCAGGGCTGTTTCAACTTTCTGGATTGCTCATCCCAACAACCATCTAATCGATAATGCAGCTGCAGGCTCACAGGTAAGTAGACTAAAGTGCTTTCCCTTTTTGGTGTCATTTGTGCCTCTGATTGCTCTAGTTTATGTGGGTATGATGTCACAAGTGCAAGGGAACAAAACATGACATGGTGTCCTGATACTGCTTGTCTAGTGGAGGGCAGGAGGTGCCTGAGATGGTGCTTCCGTTTCGTCCAAATCCTTCATGCCAGTTAGGACCTATGACTCTAAAGACAAATGAAGGAGCAGAGCTGAGCTGCTCTTTAAGATAGTGCCATTTCTAGACTGTGTTGTTAGTGTGTCATACATGGTCTTCCTGGCTTCTAATATTTGAGTCTTTGGTGGAAGAGTAACATATCATTTCCATGTCTAGTGCTGATCAACAAAGAAAGCCTTACCTTTTCAAATTCATGTGTGAATTCTGCAACAGATGTCATTCTGGTCCAGGACACAACTTTTTGTTAAATGCAGGAATTAGTTACATTTAGGGACATCTTAATAAAGCAGTGAAAATCTCAACTATTATTTGTTTAAGACAGACAAACAGGCATGTGTATGCACAGGAGAATAATTTCTAAGAGAACTAATGGACTGTTTTTAAATGGTAGATATTGTCTTGTGGCTAATGTAGGAAAATACACACTTATAGCTGAGTGTAGTTCAAAACTACTGACTTATATAAGTGAAATTTCAAATTGTGTCTGTGCTGAAGACTACCGTGCAGGGCTGTGACCATGCAGCCTAAGCATCCACATTCAAACATCATGATTCTTTAACATGCCCAGAAGGACAGAAATGCAGAGCATCACTTCTCAGCAATATGTAAAATAGATGCTGAAGAGGGTATTTCTTTGAGCTAAACAAGAGCACAGGGTGATAGCTGAACTCATATCGGCAATTTTCCTTAAAAACATGAGAATAATTTGAAGGACTCTGACATTTGAAGATTGTTATCTGACTGGACAGAGACCTGTACACTCAATGATTTCAGATTTTCACACGTTCATTTTCTATCAAGTATGTGTTGCGCTTATGTGGGCTTGTGCTGAGCATTTCTGACCAGAAAGTTAGGACAGAGAGGTGGGCCATCAGCCATCCTACTACCTCTTCTGATCCATTGCATTGCAAGTCAACACCCAAAGTACTGCTTCCTCAGCTCTTTCTGGAAGCTGGGGGTTGAAGATGAAAGCAGGACCCCGGAAGCCTGAGGCAGGACTGTCAGATACCTTTCTTGGACTGGCCAAGAATAATCAGTGTCTTGTGCATGGTCTTGATGTCTTTTAATTCCTTCTTTTCTCTCTAGAAAAAACTGTTTAAAGCTAATGTTCGGCAGGGTGTTTTCCTCTCAGAGTAAATGAAATCGTTTCGCTGTATCTTACTTTTGCCTTTTACAGAGCTGCCTTTACCTTAGATATGACAATATTTAATAGAATCAACTGTTCTGTTCTGTTCATCCCACCCCCAAACCCATTGCATCCTGGGAGGGCTGGCTCTGCCCTCTGCTTGCAGGGACATAGTACCAAGCCTGTTCTCCAGCCCCTTCATGCTTTCTTCTGTTGGTTGTACTGTATCCAAAATGCTGAGGTAGCCAACATTTTTTTCCAGAGTAGTTTATTAAGACCCATTTGTAGGGGCTGGAGAGAGATGGCTCAGCAGTTAAGAGCACTGACTGCTCTTGCAGAGGATCCAGGTTCGATTCCCAGCACCTGCATGGCAGCTACGAACCATCCTTAACTCCAGTTCCAGGGGAATCCGAAGCCTTCTTCTGACTTCCGTGGCATTGCATGACACGGGTGCCCTCACATACATACAGACAATACACTCATACACTTAAAATAAAAATAATAAATTAAATTTAAAAAGACCCACTTGTAAACTTTTATCATGGGAAAACAATGAAATTTCAGTCATTTGAGTACGAAGATATGCATGCTTTGTCTCTCCTATGTGTTCCTGAAGGACATTAGTAACAACTAATACGATACTACACGTGCCATATTTTCGTTATCCACGAGTAATCTGAGAATAGTCTTTCTGCACACCTAGCACATAATGGGCACTACATAAATGCAAGCTGAATTTGAACTAATAGTATCATTTTATACTGTATGTTTACGTTTTAAAAACCTGTTTTATCAAAGTTATGTAGTATGAAGTTGCCTTTCACACTAGGCTAATAATTTATTTGCAGAATAAAAAATTGTGACAGGAATTAAGAAAATTTATTTCTATTTTCACATCTCCATTTTATGTCAAAAACTTTTGAACTGTTCTGCTCCTATTAGGACCAGTAGTCCTGAAACTGAACAGACAAGGTCCACACTGAGAGACAGCACACTGATTCATACGTGTGGCAGGTTTTTTTCCCTTTGGCACAAACTTGCCTCAGAACAGGAAGGGCATTGGAGTTGTTTGAAAGGAACCAGTGAGCTCTGTCTGCCAGCTGACAGTTGTTTAATAGGCATGACTCATCTATTGATCAGGTTTGAAGGTAAACACGAAAACCACATTGCTAAAGGCTGTGCTGTCCTAGTCACATGGAAGGCAGACAAGGTTCTAATGCACAGCTTTTTAAACACAGCGATGGCAAAGCTAGCCTTGGGTATTTGCCAGTTATCTCTTTTGTCTAATCTTACAAGCAAATTTGTATTGAAAAAAAAAAAAAGCCCCGATATAACTGTTCTGAGGGTGATATGTGCATAACTTTTGTAGTCTTTGAAACCAAAGACAATGAAAAATTGTTACAAAGGTGAGACTTGCTTGTGAAGCAGTTTATGAAGAGCTTTCATACCGTGGCTTTACAAATGGAGGCATTTAGACTCAGAAAGGCAGATATGCATATTTTCCCTCATTCAGAATCTAGAATTAAATGTGTGTGTGTGTGTGTGTGTGTGTGTGTGTCTGTGTGTCTGTCTGTCTATATGACCTGACTGCAGAAGTCAAAGATCTATGGGAGGAGGGAAGGGGAAAAAAGAAAGGGGAATTTTGGGGGCGGGGGCGAAGAAAGACAAATTATCACACATTTGTGTGTGTGTGTGTGCGTGTGTGTGTGTGTGTGTGTGTGTGTGTGTGTGATCAAAGCAGAAGAGGGGCTATTTATGGGGAGCAGAGGGGACCACCAGGAGCTTGGAGGAGGGCCAAAGGTGAATGGGGCAAGCATGAGCAAGGCACAGTGGTATGTCTTTTTAGTGACCTTGCCGTTTCGTTTCTAGGATGCTGGAATATGGTATTTATTCCACAAAGAACCAACTGGGGAATCCAGTGGGCTGCAGCTCTTGGAGAAACCTGAACTCACTCCACTGGGAATATTTTATAACAACAGGGTCCATTCAAATTTTAAGGTTGGTTCCTATATGTTAACTATATGCATGATTCACAGGGTAAAGGATGCACTACTATGAATATGCCTTCTTTCTTTTTGTGCTGCTATAACAGAATAGCACAAATGGGGTAATTTATAATGAAGAGAAGTTAATTTGGCTCATGGTTCTGGTAACTGGGAATCCTGATCTAGGGACAGCATCTGGCAAGGGCTTTATGCTGCCGTTATCCCATAGCACAGGGCAAAGAGGGTGGGAGAGAGCAGGAGATTGAATCAATGTTTCCAGACCTGTGTAACCCTTAGTACCATTTGCGAGGATGGAGGCCTCATGACCTAAACACCTCCCACATGCTCCCTTCCTAACTCTGTTGCATCGAGTATTCTGTTTCCCTCACGTGCTGGGGTCGGGGGCACATTCAGACCATGGTAGATTCCAACTGAGAAATGTGAGTGTTGAGGAGGGCTTACCATCACAGAAAGTGATTGTTACTAGAGCAAAATACACACTTAATCCACGATCAGAGTGTTTCTATAGTATTCTGTTACATGTGCACAGGTGTGCATAGCATACAGTTATACGTATTGATCTGCTCAGTTCTATTACAGACTTGCTCATTGGTGCTCATCCTCGCCCCGTCCCTTGCTGCCCACCCCCACCTCCTTCCTTTTCTCTCACCTCCTTCCCTTTAATGTTCCCCCTCTAGGATTGTACACATTAGAGGGTACACCTCTGGCAGTGAGGACTCTGACTTTCTCTCTTCTCTTTGCAGTGCTGGTCTTTTGGGCATTTATTACTACTGAGTATTTAAACAGTAAAATATTGTCTAAGAACATTTGACTTAATTTAAGTCACCAAAGGACCACGCAGAAGCTCCAGTTTTCATGATATTTATCCTTCACACCACCCTCCCCCCTCCATGGTGATGAAGCTGCTTGGTTCATTTCATGCTCACAGGCACTTTAATATTTTGTTGCATATTATCACCTAGATTCTTTACCCTGATGTGATTCACATCAGAGTTCAACTAGCAGTTCCATGTCTGACACTCAGAGGATCCTTTAAAAATCTAAGTGTTGGGGCTGGAGAGATGGCTCAGCAGTTAAGAACAGTGGCTGTTCTTGCAGAAGACCCAGGTTCGAATCCTAGCACCCACATGGCAGCTAACAACTGTCCGTCACCAGTTCCAAGGGATCCGATACCCTCTTCTGTCCTCTGTGGGCACTGCATGACATGGATGCACTTACACACCATGCAGGCGTAATACTCATACACATGAAGCAAAAAATAAATAAATAAATGAATAAATGAATGAATAAATAAATAAATAAATAAATAAATAAAAATCTAAGTGGGGTTTGAGAGATGGCTTAGTGGGTAAGAGTGCTTGCTGCACAAGTGTGAAGACCAGAGCTAGGATCCAAACATGTAAAAAGCTGGATGTGACTGTGTGTGCCTATAACCCCAGAGCTGTGTGAGCAGAGACAAGATAGACCCTGGGGCTCGCTGGCTGCCAGCCCAGTTCCATATTCAGTAAGAGACCCTTATCTCGTGAGAGTAAGGTGGAGAGTGATAGAGCAGGACACTGTCCTATGACCTTGACACATGAGTACACAGGCACATGCACCCCCACATGTGTGTGCATGTGTAATACACATGAATCTAAGTGTCATGAGAAGCTTAGAATTACTTGAAGAACAGTTGAGAGAAAACTGCTGTGGTTCTTATGAGTTGAGTAATTGATTTAGGCTAGTAATTATTGAAAGCAGCATTTCAAAGGGAAAATCATCTTTTTAAAAAATTGTATTTGTAGAGCTGGGTATGGTGGTGCATGGCTTTAATCCCAACACTCAGGTGACAGAGGGAGGTGTATCTCTGTGAGATTGAGGCCATCCTGGTCTACATAGTAAGTTTCAGGTCAGGTATGGCTATGGACATACCCTGTCTCAAAACAGCAACAAATTATACCTGTGATTTAAAAAGTATCTCTAATTTTAAGTGTCATATGCCGTAGTGACATAGTGATCTCTTGTTAAAGTTTGAGAATGACAGTGCCAGATAATACCTTATAGCTGGAGGAGAGTGAACCTTTGGAGTTGTGAAAACAAAACCTACCATATTGGGATCAGTTGAATGCACACACACAACATACATGCATCCATCCACCAGCTCCCGTGGCTTCCCGTGCTGAGGCCTTCCAGATCATCACCTAGTCCAGGTCAGCCATGTTTATCTGGCTGTTTACTAGTTTACATTTCAGTGTTTTATGAATTAATAAAAAATACATTCAAAATGAAAACCCTTCTTTGATACTTGTCCTATTTCTCTATTTTGATTTTAGTGAATTAAACAATAAATTTTCTATAGCTTCTCTTGTTTCTTTTCACAGCAGCCTGAGATATTTTCTCAGTTATGCCTGGTGTCCCTCCTGTGTCCTTGCCATGATCTGGACCATTTTATTCCTCTTTTCTTCTGGCCCATTTTCTTCCATTAGCCTTCTTTTATTTTATTTTTTAATTTAAAGTATAGGTGCTTCTTACCCTTTTATAGAATTCCCATTGTCATGTGTCTTCAGCGTATCAGCCCTGTATGATCTGACTGACATGTGCTGCGTGTGCCTCTTTACCTTTGCCCTTGACATTTATTTATTTGTTTGTTTGTTTATTTATTTATTTATATTTTTATTCATTTATTCATTTATTTTGGAGGCAAGGTGTCTTTGTAGCCCCAGGTGGCCTGGAACTTGCTATAGACCAGGCCGACCTCAATCTTCCTGCCTTTGCCTCCCGAGTGGGACTTCCTCCCAGATGTTCTCTGCTGTCTCTTATCTCTAGGCTTATTTTTTGCAAACTCTTCCTGTAAGTACTCTTCTCGTAAGTCTTCCGCTGCTTCATGCTCACCCCTAGCATTACGTAGAAGATACTTTGTGAGCATCCCCAATCCCTGAGAAGCCGCATCTCAGAGTCTGCTTTGTTTTCAGAGCCTCATCACTTTTCTTTACCTCATTTTTTTAAAATTCTTTCTCCAGTACTGTTTTTATTGATAATGTAAAAACATTAAAAAATTTTTCCTTTTTTATTTTTGAGAATTTCATATATGAATATTGTCTTTGCATTATTTCAATCTCCCAGCCCCCTCTGACTCCTCCGGTGCCCCCGCCCGCTTCCTCTCTTTTTCTTGTCCTCTTCTTTGATCATTATTGTTACATATTCAAACATACTTTTATGAATATGCATGTACACATATATATGTATAATATACTGAGTCCATTACCTGTGTTTAGACCTGCCCACTTGGGATTAGATAAACTCTCAGGGAGCTAGTCCCTGCAGAATACCGACTCTACCTCCCTCAGCATCCATTGATTGCCAAAGGCAGTCCTAGGGCTCTTCATCCTGAGGTGGGACCCCATGACTTTCCCCCATCCACCTTGGCATGTCAGCCATTTTTGTCATTATCCAGATCTCATTAGACTACCATATTCTGGCGATTTCATGGATGCAACTTTCCTTCATGTGTATCTTATTCTTCTATGGGACCATGGTTGTGTGTTTAATTGCATCTCTCCCTGATCGTTTTTATATCAGCAACAGCAAGGGCTATATTTTACTTGTTAATTAATGTAGACAGCATCAAGTGCAAACTAAATAAGTATTTGTTGAATGACCAAACGAGTAAGCTAAAAATACTGAGGAAGTGACTGTTCTCACAGCACCTTGGCTTTGTGCTTACTCCACTACGCCATTTCTGGGCAAATGACAAACGGAAACCATTTGGGGCTTTCTGAATGGAGATGCACCCTGGGATCCATATTCATTTCAGTCCATTGTTGTGTATTTCAGGCTGGCTTATTTATTGACAAAGGTGTCAAAACAACCAACTCCAGTGCTGCCGACCCAAGGGAATACCTCTGCTTGGATAACAGTGCGAGGTAGAGCTGGTGATTAAACTCACACTCAGACCTATCTTTCCAGGCCAGAACTTAAAGCAAATGGCGTTCTTTCCTCTGGTAACACACGTAGAATGGCGTTTTCAAAGCTTGTATAAAAGTTTTGGAAAATCCCCCTGTTGTCCCAGGTCCAGAGCCTGGGCATTTATCTTGCTGAGATGCCAAGGAAGTTGATGCTTTTCTCCTTTTTCGTGTTATAGTGAGTTGCAGAAAGGTAAAGAAAGAAGAGAGAGAGATGTTGACAAAGGTTTTGGATTTGGGAAAGAGTCCAACTCATGAAAAAAACAAGTTAATCCCCCCCATACCAAAGCATATAGAATTTATGCTTAGTGATCAAAATGGAACATTACATTGAATTTATTTCAAGGGAAAGACCCCAGATTTGATGATTAAGCTGGCTGTGGTTCAGTAGTCTCAGGTTTACTTCCCATGTGCTACTCTGTCATGTAACCACAACGTGTGGTTGGGAAGTGGATCAGCATTGCAGTGGGATCTCTGACATGCTCCACATCGGCCAAAGTAAACAAAATGTCTCAGATGGAAATAAAATGTTCTGGAAAATATGGCAACTTAAAGTCATACTCAGTAGAAACCTGGTACTATTTTTCGGTACTTCAAGTTTATTGACTAGCATATGAAGTTGAATGGGTGGTAGACTGAATAGGCTTTTGTTAGACATTTGAAAGAATGCCAGGTCAGTTGTTATAAGAGAATAAGGTAGCAACCACACTGGAGGTTGATGAATCTGACTTAATGTGGGAGGCAGAATTCTTGCCGTTTGTTATGAAGGCATGAGGTTAGGAGAAAGCTGGGGAGAGCATGGTTTATAAATTTCTCAACAGCATTCCTGAAAGGCCAAATTAAGCACAAATCCTTTTAGAGCAATGATGAGATAGCATTTGAAGCCTCCAAACTGTGAGCATAATGTAAATAAAACGCAAAGTATTGTACACCTTGTTAGGTGAGCTATAAGAATTAGGAAAAGAGTAGAAAAACTTAAGTAAAAGGAGCATATAAATAAGAGTTAAATTATGAACCAAAAATATTGGCCAAAGTAGCAAAATAAAGAAATTGATATGGAGGCTGCCCCTCCTGTTTTCTTTCCTTTGTTTGGACAGTTTCACTATGGCGCCCTGGCTGGTTTAGAACTCAAATGCATCTACCTGCCTCTGGCTCCCAAGTGTTGGGGTTGTAGACATGAGCCACCAAACCCTTCCTTTTATAAGATTTTTATATTTGGTAGAATTAGAAAACACTACCTTTGCTGAGTTTGTGTTGCCAGAAAAATTGTTGAACACAACACAATTGCCTCTTTTTCCTGCCTTAAAAATAATTTATATGGGACTGGGGAGATGACTTGGTTAACTCGGTGCTTTGCAGGCATGAGGACTTTAGTTCAATCTCCAGCACCCACACAAGCCAGGCATGGTGGTGTATGCTTGCAGTCCCAGCACTGGGGAGGCAGAGAGAGGAGGATCCCTGGGGATTGCTAAACAGTCCAGCAGAATCACTAAGCTCCCAAGTTCAGCGAGAGACTGTCTCAAATAATAGTGTGAAGAGTGCATGAGGAGGAAGACACCTGGCCTCCATATGCATGCGTGACACGCATGCATACACACAAACATTATATATGTTTGTACATGTGTGCACATATAGGTACACACATGAATGGAGGAGTATACATTGTAACTAAACTTGGTAATAAAACACTATCCATTATGACCTAAGAAGTTCTTTACCAGATAGATATGTACATATTATGAAAATGGTAATTTTTCCTCTGGTTCGTCCTAGCAAATCATAAATACATACATATTGGTTAGGAATTGGACTTTATTAGGAAGGAGTTACTAGAAGGAACTAATTAGAGAAGAAAAATGACAAGACACTTGGCAGCTACGTACCTGTTTAATTTCATATAAAATAATGTGTAGGCTATGCCTATGTGTGTTTATGGGATCTGGACATGAGTAAAAATGATAAAACACAAATGAGTAACAAATCGAATTAAACACAGGGCTCAGGGGATCCAACAGATACTCAGTCTGTTCATCAGAGAAGAGGTTGTCTTTCCCTTTGACTTCAAGATGTGACACTGCAGGATGTAAAGATAGGAAATCTTTTTAGAAATATTTTTATTGATTCTTTGAGAATTTCATACGATGTGCTTTCATCATTTTAACCCCTCATGGCTCCCCTAACTCCCAGGTCCAGCCCTACTTCCCTGTCTCCCCTCCCCCAACTTCATGCAAAGATGGGAAATCTTAGTTTGAAATGGGGAATTTCATCCAAAAACTGAAAACAATAAAGCATTATAATCAACTAGTACATTAAAGCAGAGGAGTGGGATGATTGTATTAGTTTTATTGTTGCTGTGACTAAGTATTTGAGAAGAAGTAACTTAAGGGAGGAAGCGTTTATTTTGACTCACACTTTAAGAAGGGATTCAGTCAGGCCATCGTGCTGGGGGCCATGGTGGCAGGAGTAAGAGGCAGCTGGTAATACTGCATCCACAGTCAGAAAACAGAAGAAAGCTGGTGGTCAGCTAGTGTTCTCCTTTTATTTCAGTCCAGAATCTCAGCCCATGAAATGCTGCCACTGATATTTACGGTGTGTAATCCCACTTCACTTACTATAGAAACTTCCTTACAGATTGCCTAGATGTTTGTTTCCATAGTAATTCTAAATCCCATCAAGTAGAAATCAGTATTAACCATCAAGGGGCTGCAGAGATGGCTCAGCAGATAACAGCACTTGTTGCTCTTTCAGAGGACTAGAGTTTAGATCCCAGCACCCACATCAGGTAGCTCACAGCCACCAGTAACACCAGCTGCAGGAGATCCAACTCCCTCTTCTGGCCTCTGTTGCGTGTGCGTGCGCATGCGCGCACGCACACACACACACACACACACACACACACACAAATGAAAGTAAAATGAAACTTAAAAAGGATTCACCATCAAGCCAGGCATGGTGGCACGCCCCCTTAGTTCCAGCACTCAGGAGGCAGAGACAGGTGGAACTCTGAATTCAAGGCCAGCCTGGTCTACTTAGTGAGTTCCAGGTCAGCTGGGGCTACAGGGAGACCCTGTCTCAAAATAAAATAAAATAAAATAAAATAAATAAAATAAATAAAATAAAATAATTTTTAAAAAAGGATTAACCATCACAATGTTAATGATGAAAAACTAAGATAATTATCTGAAATTTCTATATACCAGTGAAGAAGAAGGTGGAATTGGGGGCACCGCTTTGCTGCAACTGTCAGTGATTGGGTTACATGAGTAGAAGAAGGTCAGAAAAGATGAGGTTACTGCAGCGGAGAATCAGATGTTGCTTTTGGTACCCCTCCTTCATTTTTAGAACATTACATAGCTTTCGTCAAGAGTTCTGTCTGCATGATATTATAGAATCACTGCAAAGTTCTTGAGCAGTAAGTGCAATACCAGAAAAGTAGTTGTTGGCTTAGTGTGAGGCTTTTACAACTTAGGTCAGAGCTAGGGTAAGGCCCCCGGATATGTGTGGAAGGATGGATACAACACTTTATCCCTGCTGCCTCCTTCCCATCGGCACCACTAGCATCTGCCTAAAATACATACAGAGCCCCATATGGTTCTGCAGTCCACTCCCCAGATAACATCTTGGAATGCTGGAAACAAGAGAGAAAAGGGAAATCTGACCACATCCCTTTGATTCCCTGCTTCCGTTGACTCCCTGTTGCTTTTTGAGTAAAGAGCCACACATGCACCTTGTACTTGGCTGCCTCCCTTCTCTCTGCCCTTGCTTCTTCTCCAGTGACTTGCTTGGTATACAGTGTGGAGCTCACCCATACTTGAGGCATCTGAACTTGGTGTTCTCTCCAGAAAGCCTTCCCATTGCTGTTTTCTGAGCACCTACTTGGGCCAGCAGTTATGGTAACCGCATTGTGCAAAGGATGCTTCCTGTGTGATTGAAAAACTCAGTGCAATGAATTGATTTTTGGAAAGCTGCTTTCTTTTAAATTTTTCTTTTTTATTCTTCCTCTGTCTTCATGAGATGATAGACTTCCAGGATTGAGTTGTTATATGGACAGCTTTTGACATCAGGTTTTTTGCTATTTCATTGAGGTCCTTGTAAATGTTTCTGAACAAAGAGAAAAAAAATGAGAAATTCAGTCTTTGTAATGAATAATTCAGTTAGTCTTAGTTGATGTATTTTCAATCTATCTGTTGGACCTAGTTTTGTCTCACAAGCACACAACTCAGTAACATAAGTCACATATACATTTATGTTGGAATATATGACTAATTTTTGCAGTGAGTTTAGATTAGTGACATGTGACTCAGGAATTTGTGAAGATAACTGGCACTCCCGGTCTGCACATAGGCATCTTTGTGTGCAAATGTTTATAACATTCTGTAGCATCCTTCTATATATAAATTAAAAAATTTAAGAATATGTGAAGACATGTTTTTGGAAACTCATGTGCAAATAAAATGTTTTCTCTTTGAGTATTTGAACTATGAATAATTAAGTTGAATCTTAACATTTTAAAATTTTATTTTGGCCAAATTTAAATCCTGCTTCTTGACCCTTCACCTTGTTACTATAAATAGCCAGATTATCTTCCTTTTGCTTACTTTCTAACACAGCCCTGTTTTTTTTATTAACCCCACAGGTTTCGGCCTCATCAGGATGCAGACCCTGAAAAGCCACGTGTTGCTGCTGTCATTGATAGGCTCATTGCTTTTAAAAACAATGATAATGGAGCCTGGGTCAGAGGAGGAGATATTATCGTTCAGAATTCAGCGTGGGTATTCTCTTCAGAGCTATTATCTCTTGACACTCTCCATTATTTCTGAGGATACCTATCTGTCTCTCTCTCTCTCTCTCCCCCTCCTTCCTTCCCTCCTTCTCTCTCTCCCTCCCCACCCCCGCCACAGGATTTCATATATCCTAGGCTATGGGATCCCACTGTGTAGCAGAGACTGACCTTGAACTCCTGAACCTCTTGCCTCCACCTCCCAAGTGCTGAGATTAGAGGCATGTGCAGCCTCTAATTATAGCCAGTTGGATTTTTTTAAAACTGAGTAGATTAAGTGCAGTGATAATTCCTGGAATCATTTTATTAGTATTAATGGACAGGACAGGCTCTGAGGACTGCAAATATTTGGAATCATATTATCCTGGTGCTTTTGTAGGAGCTGAACTTGTCTAGTGACTTGAAAGCTTTTCCATGAGATAGACCAGAAACTGGGAATTTAGCCTTATGTAACAAACACCGTTTATGTCAGGGCGCTAAATAAAGATTTTGAAACTACTTGGATTTTTTTGTTCTTCTTTTTGGAAACCCTTTAAAAATTTCAGATCCTGCCATGCCACTCAAAACAAAAGCTGTACAATTCCACCTTGAAAGTCTGTTGACTTAGCTCTTACTTGAGACAGGAAGCATTTCTCTTGTTTTTTTCCACTCGTGTAATTTTAGGAGAGACTTGGTGCATATTTTTCAGTGTTCAGCAGTCTTGGAAAAAAATTGTATTTTCTTTCATTAAGCATTAGCTTCTTGGCTCTTCATTGTCATCTTGCACTTTTTCACCCTAATTTAATATTGTTTTGATTCTGTAGAAATGCTTAGGTCTCATATTGAAGGGTTTTGAAGCAAATACCATGATATAATTTTTCTAAAAAATAATGATAAAAATAGAAATTTTAGCTAATCCTTTTATATATTGCATGGAGTATGCTCGGCACTATTGAAATGCTTCAAATGATTTGGTCTGTTTAATTCTCTCAAGAATCCTATGAGAAAGGTCGTATTATTTTTTCCACACATAGATGAAAAAGCTGAGATAAAAGGCTGAGTATCAGCTCATAACCGACAGGACCAGGATTTGAACCTGGCACCCTCATTTTGAAATTGGTGTTTGGTGACTCTAAGTTGAGCTTTTGTGTGGTTGAAGAATGAGTACTGTGACCTCCTGGGCTTGTGGCCAGGCACTGAACTACTTCCTCTGTGATGGGATGCCAGCAATGTTCTCTCATTTTTGTTACAGATTTGCAGATAATGGAAAAGGATTGACCTTTGCCAGGTTTGTAATGGCTTAAAAACATTTATCTGACTATTTTAAAGCTATAAGGTAAAATTACCCTTAGTGTTTTTGTTTGTATGTTTTGGGGTAGAAGTAGAGAGTTAACTTAGGGATGTTGATATTTTATTGGAATTTTAAAATAAACACTGTCTTCTTGATACCACTAGAGGGCCATTTTTTATTGACAGTTGAATTTATGCCAAAGTAGTAGGTCAATTTAGCTGGAATTCCACAGGAGGGAGGGTAGGGTAATCATAAACTGTTTAGAAGAAAATTCTTGAACTGTAGACTAAAATTCTTTTAAAATAGAGTATGAAAGAGGAAGATAGGCAGGGTGCAGATGGGAAACCCTTGCTGTCTTAACATAGCTGCTTTAACATAGAAATAATTTTTAAGAACTAATTCTTCATATATATACATATATATGTATATTTATATGCCTATACATATGTGCATGCATGGGTTTTTTGTGTGTTTTTCCACAGGGCTGGGGATTGAACCAGGGCCCTCTGCGTGTACCTGCTTGCCAAACATTCTGCTGCTGAACCTCATTGCCAGCCTTTTGCATTACACACATTTTCTCTGGATTATGATTATTCTACTAGCCATGCTACACATACTTATCATTTAATTGCTGTATTCTGGGCAAATTCTTTCCCATTTGCAATATTGTTGCTTGAGACTAATCAGCTCCTGCTAAGAAATTAAATTCTGTATGTTTATATATAATTGTCAAGCCATTCCCTAATTTATAAAAGAAAGGTATTTTCAATGTGAAAGCAATTTCTGAGGATTTATAATGTATATTAGAAAAAGGTATTAGCTTTATTTTGTTTCTTTTTCTTTTTTTTTTTTTTTTAATCTTTTAAAGGTGTAGCTTGCCTTCTTTTGGGGGAACAGTTTAAATTTCCTAGAGAATGTGTTTAAGGATTGTCCTCTTTTACCAGTGATGGGAGCTTCCCAAGTGATGAAGGTTCGAGCCAGGAGGTGGCGGAGTCTCTCTTTGTTGGGGAGAGCAGGAATTACGGCTTTCAGGGTGGCCAAAACAAGTACATGGGCACTGGCGGGGTAGACCAGAAGCCTCGGACGTTACCTAGGAACAGGTGAGCAGGGCTTTGGTACTGGAATACTAAACTGGAAACAGAACTTTTTTATGTAATAAGCCTGGACAGACTGCTCTTTGACTATTCTTGTTACTATTGACTATTCTTGTGACTATTCTGTTACTACTGACTATTCTTGTGACTATTCTTGTTACTTTGACTATTCTTATTACTAGTACTATTATTATTATTATTGTGTATTTTTCTCACAGAATTTTTCCATGTCATAGATTTTTATTACCAGTTTTAAAAAAGAAGTTGCTCTTGTTTCTTATTTCTTACATAAGACCTTATGTAAGTGGATTTTTTTTCTTGTAACTTTTTTTTTTCTTTCTTGAGGCTTAGAAAGTTGCCAAACCATAAACTATGACATTAGGTCAGTTTTCCCTTAATTTGTGATGCTGGTTTTCAGAAATAGCCACTGGAAAAAGGAAATTACCTATGAAAAGAGTCCTAGAAAATGAGAGTTGATGGGTGCCAAAGCCAACTTAAAACCTGGCCGACCGACCGAGGCTGTGTAATTAATGGGTTTGAGATGGTGAAGGGTGGGGGCAGAACTGGGCAGGTTTTCTGTCATAGTCACAGAGTTGGTAAAGCAGTAGTTAGCAATAGATTCTTCAAAGCTCTTAGGGAACTATGAGCTCCTTAACCCAGGACTCAATTCTGAGACTCACTTTGGAGCTGCCTTCATTTTACTTATGGGAAAAACAAGTACAATAAAATCTCAGTCATAAACTCGAGCTCTCACTTCTGAGCTGAAGCCATGGCCCATCAAGAGTCAGCTCCTTATGGGAGTGCCCTTTCTGGATGTGGGGCTGGGACAAGACAGGAGTAGAGCAAACGGACTCAGCTTTCCTGGTTCCAATGCTGGCCTCTCTACACTGGTGCGTGTCCCTGTACGTAGCCAGCATTAGTCTGTGCCACTCTGTGTAAGATTCCTTGGATCTGGTAGTGCGCTGGGGATCAAACCCAAGGCCTCATGTATATGAGGAAAATGCTCTGTGAACTATACCCCTCAGTCCTACTTCAAGAATCTTTAGTAGCTAACATTTTTAAAATGCTTGTCAGGGCCTGTTCTAAATAGCAGACCTCCATTTAATCCCTCAAACACAGCCAGATAGCTACTGTCATCCTCCTCTTCAATAAACGACAGCTGGCTAAGTAGTGGAGGTGGGATTCAAACCCACTTAGTTTGGGTTCATGGTTATGAACCCATGGTTAGTGTGCTTCATGGTTATGCTCTACTTCCCTCTAACTGCATTTAACAAAAACACAGCTGTTGGCTGTGGTATGGGCTGCAGTGTGGTGGTGAGCAACTAGTTTCTGTTTTTATTTTATACTGACCTCCAGTTTTGATTTCAAAGTGCTTATTGTGATTTAACTATGGAAGATTGTCTGAAAAAAAGTCCTCTTAGATTTATGGATTCTAGATTTATTTCACTGTATTTAGTCTCTTCTACAAGAGTGAGTCATTTTGACTTGTGTGGTTAGAATCTCTGTGTGACCTGTAGTGTCTTAACCAGGCAATGGACTTTTCTTGCTTGTTAGTGTGAATGTTTTTGTTGTAAAGCATGGCCAAGTTGCAAACTAATTGTAGAAATCCTCTGTGGTAGCATTAATAAAGACTTTATAATGCAAAGAAACCTAAGGCATTCAGAATAGTGCAGATTTAAAAAAAAATACATAAAACCATTTTATTGTAATGAACTTAAAACATCAGGTATTATATATTAATTTCTGGTTAATAATTTATGATGAGTAAGAAAATGAATACAGTGAAAATTTAAATCTAGCTAGCCCATCTGACGGAGCAGGCCTTGAGGATTTATGCTTTTATCTTAATTGAATTTTTGTAGCACATGGGATATAACTCAGTTATATGCTAGGCAAGTCCTGTACTACTGAGCTATATCTCTGGCCTGCTTTCATATGTTTTGCCTTTTTACTGTTCAGAGACTAGAGAGGAGGGTCTATCTGCTTAGATTTGCCTTTTTTTTTTTTTTTTTCCCCCTTTTTGGTATAGATTCTAGAATTCAAAAACTCAAGTAACTTGAGTGACCAAATAAAGCCTCTTCCTCCTCCTTTTTTTCTCTCTTCAGTGCTGGGTATTGAATCTAAGACCTTGGACATACAAGACAAGCATACTACCACTGGGCTACATTTCCAGCTTAAATAAGGCATCTTTACTGAGTTGATGGAAGGAAGTCCAAGCCATTTTAGAGAGACCACTGTTCTGCCCACACCCAGCCAAATGCATTGCTGTATCATGTTGTCTCCATAGTACTGATTATCAGAAATCACCTTTTTGGGGTCTTTCTAAAATACTGTATATTTCACTTCATTAGGGATTGTGTCTTCCTTACCACTGTATTCTAGAAATCTGTTCAGCATTACAGGTTCCTTAGCAGTATTCGTAAAACAATTAAGTGCTGCAAAAGAGACAGTTTCATATTCATTAAACAAAATCTTTTATTTTAACAGGACATTCCCAATTAGAGGCTTTCAGATTTATGATGGGCCTATTCATCTCACAAAGAGTACTTTCAAAAAATATGTGCCAACTCCAGACAGGTACAGCAGTGCAATTGGCTTCCTGATGAAGAATTCCTGGCAGATAACACCTAGGAATAACATCTCCCTTGTGAAGTTTGGTCCCCAGGTTAGTATGTTCTCTTGGCTCCTACACAGTGACTCCGTTGGGAGGAGGAGGGTTAGCACATTCCCAAAGGCAAAACACAAACAAATGCTTTGCACTTGGTCTGCATGATGAGGAAAGTCTACAGTAGGAGCTCCTAAACCCATGCAACCCATCCTGTTGAGTTCAGGGTGAGAGCCAGAAGTCTGAAACTTGGGGTGCTTTCGGCATTAGGTGATATCTTCAACAGGAAAATGGCTTATAGTGACCATACGAAGGGCTTGTCCAGCTTCATAGATGGAAGATGGTATATGATTTGGGGACATTCAGTACAATAAGCCAGGAAAGTAGACCTATCTCCACTGAGAGATTTGGATCCTGCCTGGTGTTTTACTTTCTACAGTTCCTAGGGAACTAGGGGTAAGGAGTTGGGATGAGGAGGCAGATAGGGGTTGTGTGATACAAACTGTTCTGATAGAAGCTGTTTTATGAAGATTGTAAAGACTCAGAATTTGTGTTCATGTTGCTGTAGCCTTTGGAAATAATTTTCTTAGCACTTTTACCATTACCCATAATCCACAGGACAATTGATGAGAACTTCAGGCCTTCTGCATCTTGTTCGTTCACCAATGGCATGAGAGAAACTGAGCTCTGGCCTTTCAACTCTCTGACCCACAGACAGCCCAGACTGGAATGTAACTTGTAGTTCTCCCTTTAAATCTATACACAAACTTGGAGTTGTACAGTTGAAAAATAGGACATGAGATAGATTTTTTCAAAGTCCATAGCATAAGAGAATTCATACTAGTTACATCAGGGACCCATCTAGCCTGTCTATAGTGAGGATGTTATGGGAACACTTTACACTTTTTTCTACCTGAAGAGAAGAACTCGTCTCATATTTAGTCATAAGGAAGAAGAAAATGACAGTGTTAAGAACCCAGAGCCTCTTGGCTCCTAGCACCATGTTTTCCATTGAGATTCTTATCCATTTAGATGTTTTGTTGAGACACAAGCCTCCCTGGTAGATGAGTGCATAAAAGCATCTGAGAAGTGGTTTTGTGCACTTTGAAAATGTTAGTAATTTTCTCCTAATGAGAAGCAGCTAAAGACTGTAAACGGTCACCTGCAGCCTGCTTTGTAACTGGATATTATGTGCTTAGTAAAGGCTTTATTGTGTTTCTGAAATTTTTTATTTTTCTACTGTGCAAGGTAAGAATTGAACCCAGGGCCTTGCAAATGCTAAGCAAGGATTCTACCAATTGAGCTATATCCCCAGCCTTTTGTAAGGCTTTATAGTGTCTCTTAACTGACATGAAAATTAATTGAACTGGAGGTGTTCTGTGTTCAGAATAGAGACAATCACACACATTTTTCAGCAGATCCTAGTGGGTTCTGTAGAACCTTGGCATACTAACCCAGCATTGACATAATGTATCAGTTTTGAACTGTGCTTATTTTTTACTGAATGAAAGTCCTGTGAATAATTAACTAATCATTTGGAATGAAGTAAAATGATTAATTGTATGCTTCTAGTAGCTTTTTTATTTAATTCATGTTTAATTTGCATACAGGAATCTTTACATGTGTAGTTTATAATTTTTTTAAAGTGTGTATGATGGGTTCTAGTTTCTCTTACCTTGGTTTTGTCAGAACAGGTAATAGTTTTTAAATGAAAAAAAAAGCTGCTTAATACTTCATAACTGAGCTTCATGAGGCTTTAGACATGTTTTTTCCTCAAGCGTGTCCTTGTGCGGAACTTGGATCCACTGGGCACCATGCTTGGCAGGGAACACTGACTCCTACTTTAACAAGACAGTTGTGAGGTCGTGCAGCTGGGCTGTGTAGGAAATGTTGACTGAGTGGAACCTCATTTTGGGATGTCGCTGTTTTCACTGCTGTCAGGTATCTCTGAATGTCTTCTTTGGAAAGCCTGGCCCCTGGTTTGAGGATTGTGAGCTGGATGGTGATAAGAACTCCATTTTCCACGATGTGGATGGCTCGGTGACAGGATACAAGGATGCCTACGTGGGAAGGATGGACAACTACCTGATCCGCCATCCAAATTGTGTCAATGTTACCAAGTGGAATGCAGTGGTCTGTAGTGGGACCTATGCCCAGGTAAGCCCCGCAGTTGGTCCAGGCCTGAAGCTACAGCTCCTGAAGCACTGTATCCAGGACAGTTGTTCTTCATGGTGATTGGGACTTTCCCAAGCACTATTTTCCAGAGTCGGGGGCGGGGGAAGCAAGCAGGGGTGAGAGGAAAAGGAAGAACATTTTATTGAACTCTTTCCAAACAAGTAAAACAGTGAATCAATGAGGTATCTGCCTCAGCCAGATGTATGTAGCTGGGATGCAGCTGGGGCAGGAGAACCCATGTTCCTGTTTCCAAGGCAGGGTCCCCCTGTGTAGCTCAGACTGACTTTGAAATTACAGCAATTCTTTGGCTCAGCTCTGTCTCTGAGAGCTGGGATTTTAGATGAGTACCACCACAGCTGGGGAGAACCCATGTTTTCTGACTCAGGATTTTTTGCCATATTCCAGGTTTAGGCCCTCAAGGGGCCTTATTTGCTTGTTTTTGTTTTTTGTTTTTTTGATGTACCATGTTCACCAGTTTTTAAAAACAATATATAAATCTTTTGCCTGCATGTATGTATGTAGACCGTGTGCGTGCCTTGCCTAGTGCCCACGGAGGCCAGAAGAGGGCATCAGGTTTTCTAGAACTGGAGTTAGAGATGATTGTGAGCTGCCGTATGGGTTCAGTGAACCAACCTGAGTCCTTTGCAAGATCAGCAAGTGCTGTTAACTCCTGAACCTCTTCTCTCTCCCTGCCTCAGGGAGCTTTATCCTTCGCTTTTGTCTTTTGTTCTTAGGATTGTTTTTTTTTTCTCCTTAACTGGGAAATCTGACTTTTCAAGCAGTAGCAGTGAGTCACTGGGATGGATCTGAGGACTGGAAATGAGTAGCCAAGAAGTATGAGGAAATTCCATATTGTGATATGTCTGTGTAGATATGAAGGAGGTAGTACAGATAGGGAAACACTTCTTTAAAACCTTTAAGTTCCTATGTGTGCTAACAGATGAGAGGCTTATTTATAAGTTGGGATATATTTATAGTTAAGAGCACAGATTCTGGAGTCAGTTTGATTGGGTTTGAATACTGGGTTTTGTCACTTGCTGAAATGTGAGTTGGACAAGTTAAAAGGACGCTATGGCCATGTATAATGAGGAAATTGACAGTTTCCTCCCAGGAGGCTCCTGAGAGAATGGGATGTTTTTAAGGAGGCATGACCATGTGACCTGGCCTCCTGCTGTTTGAAGATCAGGGCACTTAGTTGCAGAGCTGATCTTTAACAGTGAGATTTAGATTAATGGAAGTGATTACAGTGCTGAGGCACCAGGTACTCACAATTTGGGGAAGGGCAGAATTCTCACAGTAAGAGTGCAGGATTAATAATTGTTAGGCTAGGCATGATAGTCCATGTCTGTAATTCCAGCATTCAGGAGACTGATGCAGGTGGATCAAGGCTAGCTTGGGCTACACAGTAAGACTATGTCTCAAAAAAAAAAAAGCTAGGGGAAATGAAAAGAATACAAGGTCTGATTATTGCACAGAGAAGGGGATTAGAGGAAGAGCAAGGGATCTTCCCAGTCAGGCTGGACTGTGGTGGCCGGAAGTCAGGAAAGAAGCTGACCTTATTCATGTGTTACTAATGGCTTCTGTTTGCTGTGGGCTTTTCCCAAGGAAGGACCAGTGCTGTGATCTTGGGCCACTAAGCTTGGCTTTTTCAGGATGCTAATACATATGTTTGTGAGCTCCTGCTTGGCACTTCCCTGAGTGGCCCAAGTCTGATGTGGTTTTCACCCCCTTACCCTTTTGTGTTTGGCGTGCCTTAGAAGAGGATTCTTCATTACTCTTCCAACTTTGAAATGGTTACAAAAGAATGTTACTCTTAAATTTAAAAACTTAAAAAAGTTTAGATTCTTCTCTGTAGACAAGAAAAAATGCTTGAGAGGGATGAAGGCCGGACATCCTTTCTTGTTTGCTTTATTAGCTTCTCTGTTGTGGGATTTCTCGTTCCTATGAGCAGATCAAAAAAAAAAAAGAAAAAAAAAGAAAAAAAAAAGTAATAAAGGACTAAACCTGCAGGGGGGACCAGAAGTTGGACAGTGGTTTCAAATTAAATTTTTACCCACTCATTTTATTCTTTTATTCTTAATCAGAATTGTCCCTAATTAAGTCTCCCCACCAATACTTAGGCACTGTGGGTATTCTAAATTAAAGACAATACAAAAATGAAAATAAGGAGCCTTTAGTTCTTTTGCAGCTACAATTTTCATTTAATTTTTTGCTGACTATGTGTACCTGTTTGTGTATATGCCATACTATTATCTGACTTAAAATGATAAATGCTTACTAATAAAAATATGTCCATTTAAAAATTATTATAAAATTGACTATAAACTCTATAGTACATGGTTCTGAAAACTCATAGTTTTTGTAAATTCCAGTTATTAACTAAATGTTACATAATTCCATTCCTTTAGATTTGCAATGTTATTTGAGATGTGAACCTAATCATTCTACCTTTCAAAGCAGGGTAGTAACTCCATTTTCGTTTGAAGAGGGAGAAATGAGTCATTCATTCTTCCCAGAGACTCTAGGAATGGTGGAACATGGAGAGTCAGAAATTCTCTCCTGAGAGTCCTTCAGGCCAGAACCCTAGCTCTGTAGTTGTTTGCTTTTACTTCGAAGTAATGTAGTGAACGTTCATAGGGAAAAGGTGGAAACTGGATGTCAAGAGAGAATAGCATGCCTTTAATCTCAACACTTGGGAGGCAGAAGCAGGTGGGTTTCTATGTGAAATAGAGGCCAGCCTGGTTAACAGAGCAAGTTCCAGACCAGCTGAGACTACAAGGAAACCCTTTCTCAAAAAAGAAAAGATAAAAAGGGATAGTCATTTTTTAACTGCTTGTAAATACTTTTTAATATAATTTCTATTTACTCTCTCAAATATGTTTAAGAAAATAGTAGCGTATATTAGAGTCTGTACTAAATAGGTATTTAGGGGATGACTGGATAGGTCAGTTGATAAACTGGTACATTCTTACAGTCCCAGAGCTACAAAGGTGGATTCCTGGGGTTCACTGGCCAAATAGCCCAGCCCTCACTGGAGAGGCTCATACCAGTGAGGGATCCTGTTTCAGAAAACAAGGTGAACAGTGTCTGAGCAGGAAAGACACCAGAAGGCATCCTCTGGCCTCCGTGTACACAGACGGACACATGCAGCTACACAGATAAGTGCACATGCAAAAACACATACACACTAAAAATGTATTTTAAAGAAGATAACGCATCTTAACAAATGCGTTCAATTTTGAATCTTGAAATGGTGTCAGTAGAGGATTAATGTGCTAACAGTAGTGAGAGTCAAGTAGACATTCTGACAGGACATAAGGTGGCAAAGCCAGTACGGACAAGGTTATAGAGGTGGCAGAAAGATTCCAATGTATTGTGGGTTAAATATCAGTATTCTGCACATTTTAACTCCTGGATGTGTTACTGGATCTTTGTTTTACGACATTGTTCTGAAGCTTGTCCTATGGAGGACGCGTTGGTGGAAGGTTTCAGTTTGGTCTGGAAAATGGTTCAAATGTCACTGGAATAAATTTAAGACTTTCAAATCTGTCTCATCTTAATATGTTTTTCCAGTTGCTGTAGAGCTCTTTTTAAACTTTATTTTTGAATGGGTAGAAAATGATTTCTTGGGCTATCATAGGTCATGGAAAACTGAAAGCCAAAGCTCTCACATATATGAATTTTCCACCTCTTGGATCAGAAGGAAGTCTCTTAGATTTGCCTGGAAGGATATCAGTTTTCCCCTTAATTTGCTGATTTGTTTAGGATGTGTGCTCTTCAGATCAAGGGGTTTCTTTGACAAGCTGCGTGAGCCACAGAAGTTTTCTATTCTGATGAATAAGCTGGCCTGTGGTGGTGGAATTGATGAGGATCTTGGCTAGTAGAATGAGGGTGTTTTCCATGTGTAGCCTAAACAGCCTGCACTGTCAGCATGGCTTAGGCCAGATGGCCACTTGCTCATTTGGTTTGGCACTTACCAGACTTTTTAAAAGATTTAAAAAATTTTATGTGTGTTTTGTCTGTATGTATGTTAAGTATACCCAGGTGCATGCCTGGTACACGTGAAGGCCAGAAAAGTGTGTCGCATGCCCTGGAACTCTAGTTAAGGACAGATAGGAACCAACCCTGGGTCCACTAGAAGAGCAGTAAGTGCTCTTAACTGCTGAGCCATCTTTCTAGCCCCAGACTTACTCTTTTCAAAGTACAGACCCTTGATGTATGCTGGGTAAGTTCATAGAGCGGTTTAATCTTTTGCTCACTTGCCTTCAATTCTTTTTCTTAAAGGTCTATGTTCAGACATGGAGCACTCCGAATCTTAGTATGATCATCACACGAGACGAATACCCATCCCACCCAATGGTGCTTCGGGGTATCAACCAGAGGGCCACCTTCCCGCAGTACCAGCCTGTCATCATGCTAGAGAAGGGCTACACCATCCACTGGAATGGGCCAGCACCACGCACCACTTTCCTATACCTCGTAAACTTCAACAAGTATGCTGCTCTTACTGTTGTGTCAAACATTTGAGCAGGTAGTCACAGTGGAGAAAAGAATAGCATATCTCCTCCTAGCAGGAATGACACTTGATATGCTTTCTTCCTATGGAGAGGCAGTGTAGCCTGTGCTGATGGAAGTAAGATAATGCAGATTGATTCCTGTCATTTTCAAAGCATTTCTTTTTTCCATCATAAGGATACTATGTTTAGAAGGGCTAGTCTATAATAAGGTGTTTTGCATGAAGAGATTGGTCAGCAGTTAAGACCACTGGCTGCTCTTACAGAGGACCTGGGTTTGAATTCCATTCTACACATGGTGGCAAACAACTGTCTGTAACTCCAGTTCCAGAAGATCTGATGCTATCTTCTGGCATCCATAGGCATTGCACAACCCAGGTGCACTTAGATTCATACAGGCATGCACATGAAATAAAATTTAAAAAATAAAATAATAAAAAACCAATAGGGTTTGTTTTGGTTTTGCTTTGAGGTACTTGGGATTGACTTTTGGGCTTCAGGAATGTCAGTAAGAGCTCTACCACTGAGCTGCATCTTCAGCCCAACAATGGGTTTTAATGCTATATAAGGTGAATGCTTTAATTTCCTGTAACTGGCCAAAGATGTTTTTCTGACTGAGCATTTAATTTAAAAGGCTTTTTCTCTCCTTTTCTCATTTTGAGATAGTCTTATAGTTATATAGTAACTCAAACTGACCTTGAAATTTTGATAGTCCTCCTGCCTCAACCTCCCAAGGGCAGAGATTACTGGTATGAACCACATGCCTGAAAAAACTGAAAGAATTTTTAGGCCAAGTATATACTAAGCAGAAGGGAGAGATATGTGATGGATGGTAATAGCTGCCTGGACACAGGTAAAGAGTTGGAATGTGAATGCCAGGTATTTCCTACCCCTGCCTTGAAGCATTATTCTGTCTTGTCTCAATTTCCCAGTTATCTGTTCTGGTGGTGTCACATTCAATCCAAGGCTGTATTTCTACAATAATTTTTTACCATGTGTCAGTTGCTGTAAAGATGAATGTGCTCACATTAGACAGGTGTGAAGAAGTGACAATGCAGATTGTCACTGCAGAAGTAAGTGACTAGTCAGTCCTGTACAAAAGCCCAGAGTTGAGAAAAGGCCTCTTTCTGCTCAGCATACTGGGTCTGGTGAATAGGAGTATAGGGAGCATCAGAGAAAGGGACATAAGTCAAACTAGAAAGGAGGGAGGGGAATAGTCATTCCTTTCTGTCCTTGAGGGCCTGGGTTCAGGATACCTTGCAAATACTAAACTCTATAGATGTTCAGTCCTTCTATAAAATGGCATAATGTTTGCATATCAGCCACACACATCTCCTGTATACTTTGATTACCTGTAGATTACTTGAAATATTGAAGCTATGCAAACAGTTGTACTATACCATTTAAGGAACAATGACAAGAAAAAAAAGCCTCTACATTTTCGGTATAACTGAAGTGTTTTTAAATTTTCTTCTGTGTATTTTCAGTGGGCAGTTGGTTGGTTGAATCTGAGGAATGTGGAAGCCTCAGATAAGAAGGGTTACTTTGAATGCAGAGTGAAGTAATCTAGATCTGTGTAATGATCAGCTCATGGGATTCCATGCAGTTGCTTAAATCTGTACCTAAAAACTGCATGAATTGTTTATCTTATTGCTCATAAAGCTCTGACTTGTTAGAATTTGTTTAACAAACAGTTGAAGTAAAAGAGAAAAGGACTAGAGTATATAGGAGTCTGGATGTAAGGAGCTCACTTCCCAGGCTGGGTACTGCTAATGGTGGATGGCCTTGGTGTGAGATCGTTAGGGGTATGGGACATGCTCCAAAATGAATTGTTAGTTTCTTCTTAAACATGGCTTCTTCTCTGTGTCCCACTGATACTCTGCCAAGCCCCAAATCCCAGAACTCACCCCTTTGCCACTGTTCCCTTCCCATCCCACCAGTAGCAAACCATCAGTTTTGGCTCTCTAATGCCATTCAGATATTTCCAGTCCTACCAAATTTAGGCCACTAGCATCTGTGCCCAGATCCTTGCAGCAGCCTCCTGCCCCATCTCCCTACTTTCACCCCTTAGTCTACATTGTGTTCATGGTAAGGTTTCTTAAAGCCCAGCTTGATATTACCAGTGAGTTACAGAGAAGCCAGTGAGAGAAAACAAAGCAGAACAAAGCCAGGAGGGTGGAGAGGAACTACCAGAGTGATGAGTGTTCCAAAACGCTATGTTGAGCTGGATTATGGATTTGAGGTGAGATATTACAAGCAAACGATGAGCAGGCTCTATAAAATACAAAGCAAACTTTTCGTCCAATTCTGGACAAATTAAAGAATTTTAAAGAGAGATAGGAATGAGCCTAGACATTTTGAAAATCAACCTGAATATAGTCACACTGCCTTGCTTAATTAGTTAAAATTTTATAAAGATTACATGATGGGCAGAGATAAGAAGAAGAGATGAACAATTTTTTTCTGAATTTAGTATAATTACAGGGAGGTCATAGCTCTGCTTCTGAAAATAAGTTTAAAAGTTATAAAAGCTCTACTCATTAAACATAATAAGGAAAATACAGAGAAACCAGAAAGAAAATTGAGATAATCCTTAGTCCTTATTAAGTAAGGCATATAAATATTATGTCTCTTTTTTCCTGCACTCTTGAGTTTTCTGAACTATGGATGAACTGTAATTGTGTGAACAATCATGAACATTGAGTTTCTCTCCTCTCCCCACTTGTTTTTTTTTTTTTTTTTTTTTGCTATTATAAACAATACCCTGTAGAGCTTCTCTTTTACATCTTTTGTCTGCCTGCATTCATAATTATTCTCTAGTAGATTGCTTGGTGAAATGCATGTACAGTTTAAGGCCTTGCCACATAAGGCTCTTTGGAGCAACAGAGAAAAAAGTTCTGGAGCTGGACCATGGAAATGGCTGTACAGTCTTGTGAAGATGCTTAATGTTACTGAACAATGCAACTAAACTTGTTTAAAATAGTAAATTTTAGGGTATGTTTGCATTATCACAGTAAAAAGAGAAGTCAATAGAAGAAAATACTAAAAGAATACTGTAATTTTTAAAAAATATTTTATTTATTATTTTTATTTTTATGTGTATGAGTGTATTGCCTGTATGTATGTGAGTGCACCTGTGTCATGCAATGCCACGGACATCAGAAGAGGGCTTTGGATTCCCTTGGAACTGGAGTTAAGGACAGTTTGTAGCCGCCATGTGGGTGCTAGGAATCGAACCTGGGTCCTCTGCAAGAGCAGTCAGTGCTCTTAACTGCTGAGCCATCTCTCCAGCCCCCAAGAATACTGAAATATTTTTAAAAACAATTTTATATCTGAGGACATTAAGAAAAATACTATAATATGGTGATATACATAAAAAGCTTTAAAAAGCCATCTACCTTTCTCTCAGTTGTGGCAGTAGGAAGTCATCTTACTATTATTTAAAAAGATAGATATATTTATGGAGAGACTCTTTCAAATGATTTTTGCCAGCTGACACGTCCACTGTTAGCCTATTGGTAAGTTCATATCAGTACACTCATACCCAGCTTGAATTTTATTATCTGTTTGCAGTACACTTTATCCACTTTAATTTACAAATTCCAAATTCTGTTTAAATGAAGTTGTTTTTTGGTAGGCCATATTGTAAAATGTGCTGATAAGAGACACTTGAGACAGACAAATGAATCCCTTTTTAGTATATCTTCTGCTTGTGACTCAAACACAGCGGACGCCCAAGGCAGAGAAAGGTTCACATGCTACAGTGTTCAAGAGATAGAGCTCTGGTGGGAATTAGTTTTCTTTCTTGTCCCCCCTTTGAAGGAATGACTGGATCCAAGTTGGACTGTGCTACCCATCAAATACAAGCTTTCAGGTTTCCTTCGGCTTTCTACAGAGACACAATGGCTCCCTGTCCAAAACTGAAGAATACGAGCCTGTGCATTCCATGGAGGAGCTGCAGAGGAAGTCATCTGAGAGGAAGTTCTACTTTGACTCCAGCACAGGGTAATTTGTGGAACCAGGGAATAAGAATGAATGCTTATTTCCTTTAAGGATGAAATTGTTGACTGGTCAGCGCAGCTAAGAAACAATGGGATTTGGTAGCTGTGGAGCAGAGCAACTGGCGGGGCACGGGGCGCTTCTCTACACACTTCCACACTTCTGCACACTCCTAGGGGTTGGGAGCATAGCTCCAATGACTTGTAATTATAGCTGACGGTTGAGTCAGTGAAGATATTTGCTGTTTACCTATTAAGGCAATTTAGAGAGAGAAATGATCCGTGTCAAGAACCACCAGTTTGCCCAATTGAAAGTGAAAATAATTTGTTCTTCTGTAGCAACTCTAAGATAGCTATTAATATAAGAAATTCTTTCTGTTTCACTGAAAGCCTGTTTCCCCTTCTGACTTAAGGTTATTTCTTAAGTTGACCTTGAGTTTTTAAACAACACTGTGTAACCATGGCCTATTTGCTTCCAACTTTTCTAGACTGTACATTCCACTTTTTAATCCTTATCCTGCTCTACTAGGGTCCTATTGGCTTTGTCTGCTTTTATCCAGTTACAGTCTCAGCCTGTGGGTTATGGTAGGCTCTATCTCCTCTTCTATCTAGCAAGCAGCATGCTCCTCCAGACTCCATCCTTAGACATTCCATTGTCTAGGTACCACGAAGATGCTAATGCCAATAAAATTAATTTCATCTCTAAATTCACAGTCACTTAAAGCAAGTTACTAGAGAGTGAAAGGCTTAAAAGTCCTACAGTGGTACATTTAATGTACCTTGTGTGTGTGGGTAGCTGACAGGTCAGTCTAGAGTAACCAGTGACATCCTGAAAACAAATTCCTGAGCAATTAGGAGAAGAAAGAAAAGGCCGGGTGAGGCTCTGCAGGCAGAAGGAGCAGCGCACAGATGCAGGCAGAAGGAGCAGCGCACAGATGCAGGCAGAGGAGCAGTGCACAGATGCAGGCAGAGGGAGCAGTGCACAGATGCAGGCAGAGGAGCAGTGCACAGATGCAGGCGGAGGGAGCAGTGCACAGATGCAGGCAGAGGGAGCAGTGCACAGATGCAGGCAGAGGAGCAGTGCACAGATGCATGGCAGCATGGACAGATGTGGCACGGGACGTTTGGGGAAAAGCAAAAAGTTGAGAGTGGAGAGATATGTTGCAAGGTCAATTAGGGGAAAGAGATTGGGGTCATCTGTGAATTGCCTGATTGACCTTTATATGAATCAACTCATTTGCCCTCTAACATCCCCTGTGGCCAATGTGATAAGCTTAAAAGTCTCTGATTTTCAATTTCTAATTAGATGTAAATAATGTAACTGGACATCTATTCTGTAGATGGCAGAATTTCTATGTTCCTACTTGAATTTTTGCCAAAATAAATGGAACACTCAAATTTGTAAAGGCATTCTGGTGACTGCAAATTAGTGACTGTCTCTGTGAAAAGATGGGATGTTGCTTTCTGGTCTGTGTATTTCAAAAATCCTTCAGCCTCTGAGGATAGATTTCTTATTAATTCTAGTGATTTGGACTGTATTAAAAGGCTCTTGCCCATTCAGGCTTTTGTTATTTTAAAAATATTTATACTAAAGTTAGTAGATGTTGGGACAGTGACCTTTTAACCTTTGTTAACTTTTTAATTATGACTTTGCGTTGTTCATTGACGTCACGTTAAAATGTGAATTGTTGATTTCTGGTACTCAATCATGTTTCATCAAGTCCTTTGAATCCTGACTCCTTTGGTTTAGAAACACTAGGTTTGCATAAAATGTTGGAACATTGCTTAGAACTTCATTTATCTTGGTAGCAAGACGATCATTTGGAACGGGCAAGGCTGTTCCCTTAGCCCGATTTTGGCCCATTTACAGCAGGATGGGCCTCAGGCCCATGTGCTCTTGGAAAATATGACAGGAATTGATTTGACTATCTTGGCCTCAGCCAAACAAGTCAGAGTAGCTGTTTTATTATCCCACTTTCCAAAATGAGCAATACCAACCAAAGGAATAGCTGGTCTTAATGTACTGATTCCTTAATTCAATATAAATATATAGTTTTCAAGCAGTTTTTGAACTCAGATTTTATCCTCTCAAATTATGCATTGAACTAACAAGACAGAAATCAACTTTGATGTCTTCCAGGACAACTGAATCATGTTATCAAATAGTTTTCTAAGGAAATACTGGATTTGACCTAAGACTCTAGGAGGCGAAGTAGGAAAGGGAAACAGTTTATTAGTTTTGCAATTTATTTTTCTTTTAAGGAAATGTTACTTTGTTGGAGAAATATCCCTTTGGCCATGAATCAAGCTGAGAAAGGCTAACAACAAGTGGTTTGGTTTCTATTTTGTGCAGGTTATTATTTCTGTATCTCAGAGCCCAGAGCCACAGGGATGGCCACAGTTACTGTTCATCTCAGGGATGCGAAAGAGTCAAGATTCAGGCAGCAACTGACTCCAAAGACATCAGTAACTGCATGGCCAAAGCGTACCCACAGTATTACAGAAAGCCCTCGGTGGTTAGGCGCATGCCCGCCATGCTCACGGGTCTCTGTCAAGGCTGTGGCACCCACCAGGTAAGCACAGGAGAGGAGTGGTTCTGGGAGAGAAGTTGGAGTTTCTTTGCAGTAGGAGTAGTTTACTTTGAAACATCTATCTGCAAATTTATAAATACATGATGGTATCTCTTGAATTTTGGTCTGTTCTAGTATGTGGTACTTATAAGAAGCAAAATATTCCCTATTTATAACAAAAGTACCTTTCCTTTTGATAGATCAGTCTACCTTGATTGTGTGTTTTTTGTTTTTTTTTTTTTTAATTTCCCAGATTTAGGATTCCCAGAACTAATGATGAGCTAACATTTAGTTTTCAGAAACAAATATAGGTGAAGAAAAAAATGGTTCTTACAGTATGGTCCTAGACCAGCATCCCCTGGGAACCTGTCCTACCACAGTGCTACTGAGTCAGCACTAGGGCCAGAGCCCAGCAGCCTCCCACAGCCAGCAATTGATGCTGATGCTGTTCACATCCAGTGATGGTATCAGCAAGCAAGAACTGCTACAAAAATCTTGACAGTAAATGTGAAGAAAGCTCCCAGATCTTTCTTTGGGTGATTTGTGAAGAAGACTTCTTCCTCTGCATGAATACCATCCCCTCTCCTTCTTCCCCTCCCTCCTTCCCCTCCTCCTCCTCCCTTCTCTCTACTTCTCCCTCTCTCTTCTCTCCCTCTTTTCTTTCCTTCCTCCCTCTACTTCCTTCCTCTCCCTCCCTCCCTCCCCTTCCCACCTTCCTCTTTTTTCCCTCCTGTTGTTTCTTACCATTGGTAGCCATAAAACCAGGAATAGAACAATAGAGTTATGCTTCTCATGAAATTAAGTTTCTTTTTCATTTGGGGGGTGGTGTTTCACTAAATTTTCCCTTTCCCGCTGGAGACCTGCCCTCACTCAGGGTCTCCTGGTCCCGATGTGAATTGACAAACTGACATAAGGCATTCTATTTGGATTTTGCATAGTTTATGTGATGCCCAGGAAAGGGGGTGACTTACAAAGACATGGGTTCTCATAGGCTTATATTTGGAATGCCCACCACCAGCTTGTCCCGACACGCGGTCTCCATCCGCCTCACCCTACGGGCACCGTCTCACCGGTCTATGTGTACAGTCTAACCCCGCTACGCTCTATTCCAAAAATGGCGACTACCCCATTCACAGCTGTACTCCAAAGTCCACACCCAAACATAAATCCTGTGGCCTGACAGCCACACAAAATGGCTAGAGAGAGGCCTCATGGCTTTCCTGGTTTATATATCCATAGCCCCTCCCCTTAGTGGGCTTGACTCCTTCTGAAGAGCGTGGGAAGGAGGTGGGACCATGGCTTGTCAGAGGAACTTCCAGGTCACAGATGGGTTGTTTGTTTGTTTTCTTGAGATAAGGTTTCCCTGTAGCTCCAACTGACCTGGAATTTGCTATGTAGATAATGCTGGTCTCCAACCCATAGAGATCTACTTGCTTTTCCTGAGTCCTGGAATTAAAGGTGTGGGCCACCATGCCTAGCCTCTTTTCTTTTGGATTCCATGTTTTCATTAATTCCCTTAGTAAGCAGAGCAGATAGTGGGTTTCCTTATGGCATTTCATACATAGTGTCACTGCACTTCTCTCCGGTCACCCTCCCCATCACTTTCCCTGCTCCCCTCCTTCTGGTCTCCTTCTTGCCCATGTTGCCCCTCTGTTTTCGTGGCACTCAGGCATTTATATTTACTCTAGGGTCTGCGCGTGAGTGCGAATGTGTGCTGCCCACCTTTCATTTCCCTCCCATTGTCCTCTCTGTGCCCCTTTTCCTTGTGTTCGTTTGCTCTGTTCTGTTTAGATTTGTTTTTGAGACAGGGTCTCATTGTGTAGCATAAGGGGGCTTGAAATTGAAATAGATTCTCCTGGGAGCCTCAGCCTCATGAGCCACCCCCCACCCCAGTGTGTTGTTTTCCAATGGCAGCCTACTGTCGGCCCTCACTCTCTCACATTCCTTAGTGATCTCTGTTCTCCTATTCAAATAAAGCCAAAACCAGTCAACAAACCTCAAAACCCCATGTGTATAAAAAGTGCATGTATGTGAGTATATATATATAGATGCAGGTCCTTTTTTTCTTTCCTGTGCTTTGGATGGTCTACAGGACCTTGTATATTCTATATACATCTCTACCACTAAACTCCCCATTCCATGTTATCCTTGTGGGACACCAACTTCTCTAGCCTAGCATTTAAGCTAGATTTGTTTAGAAAGCTCTTCGTTACTGAATACAATCTATAACTTAGAAAAACCTTATATCATTAACAATGGAAATTCCTTGGTTCTAGCTTGTTAAATAGATCCACTGTCCACCTTGAGCATGCTTAGTCTCTGTGCCAGAAGCATCCATCAGAATTCATTTTTAAAAAAATACATTGGGGCCGGAGAGATGGCTCAGAGGGTAACAACACTGGTTTTTCTTGAAGAAAACCCGGGTTTGAATCCCAGCACCCACATGGCAGCTCACAACTGTCTGTAACTCCAGTTCCAGGGGATCCTACACTGTCCCCTGACCTCTGTGGGCATTGCACTTACGTATATGCAGGCAATACACTCATACACATAAAATAAAAATAATAAATAAATCAATATATTGATGCCAGGTATGGTGGTATATGTCTGTAATCTCAAGTACTTAAGGTAGAGAGAGGCAGGAGGTTCAAGGCCAGCCTGGGCCAAGTAGGGAAAACATGTCTCAAAAAGAAAAGAAGAAACAAACAGTACTGATGACCAGCTTTCTGTACTCAGAGTATTTGAAGTAAATTTTGGGAATGTCACTTTTACTTGGAAATTTGAGGAGAATTTTTCTCTTGCATCTCAAAACCAAACACATATTAGAAATAATTGTAAAACTTCACACAACTTTGCCCTCAATCTAAGACTTAAAAGAATGTTCAACTTTGAATGCTATTTGGTATAGGGATGATTATTCTTGTGTGAAATTATTAACGGTGATTTATAAGGACAATATGCTTTTAAATGTTCAACTGCTTGAGAATTAAAAGTGGTTTTGAATGAGACATACCGGTTGGGGGAGGTGGACTTTGAGGCCCAAGAGTAAATTAGCGGAGTGAAAGGGAAAGAGAAGGGTGTTGAGTGGTCAGCATCAGGAGAGGAGGGAGGTCAGCATCAGGAGAGGAGGGAGGTCAGCATCGGGAGAGGAGGGAGGTCAGCATCGGGAGAGGAGGGAGGTCAGCATCGGGAGAGGAGGGAGGTCAGCATCGGGAGAGGAGGGAGGTCAGCATCGGGAGAGGAGGGAGGTCAGCATCGGGAGAGGAGGGAGGTCAGCATCGGGAGAGGAGGGAGGTCAGCATCGGGAGAGGAGGTCAGCATGAGCAAAGTCAGAAAAGCAGGAAAGAATGGGAACTGCTCGTGGGAAGTGAAGGACCACTGTACCTCTTGACTGCAGTAGAACAGAGGGAAATGGGATGTGTTCATAAACATTTTGCAGGTACCCAAGAAGAGCTGAAATGTGGCCCTGTGGAAGGCACTACAAATTGTTAAATAGTGTAGCCTCCTTATAGACAGCTCTTTCCTTCTCAGTCCTACATTGACTGGATTCCAGTTCAGGCTAATTAATCTGAAAAAGATCTTGTAAAAACATGTGGGCCAGACGGGTGCAATGAGTTAGTAGTTAAGAGCATTTGCTGCTCTTGCAGACATGGCAGCTCACAACTGCCTGTAACCCCTGCTCCATGTAATCCAACACTGTCTTTTGGCCTCCAAGGGCACTCACATGCATGTGAATGCACGCACGCACACACACACACACACACACACACACACACACATAAAAATCTTTTTTAAAAAGTGTGCCTGTTTTTCCATGACATATTTGCAAAGATTTAAATTTAGCATGCATTATTTAGATACTTTTATTAAACTGACTCTGTGTGGACGTGCATGCTGAACATGTGCTGTATCACTAAACTAAACCCCAATCCTGCTGATTTTATTAACAAGATTGCACTGTTTGAAACTGTGATTGTTCCAGAAAATGAGAAACATAGACTTCTATATTAAATGTATTGAAAGATGGAATTCCAGGTTGTAGACTAGGTATAAAAAGTTCAGATAAAGAAAAACACCCATTGACCACTTGGTACAATTGAGTTTATTTTGAGGGACACTTGGGATGAGGATTCAGTGACCTTTAAATATGAAATGTGTTCTTGTCTAGATGGTGTTTAGTAGTGATCCTCACAAGAGCTACCTCCCTGTGCAATTCCAGTCACCTAATAGAGCAGAAACTCAGCGTGGAGAGCCATCTGTTATTTCTGTAAGTACTGTCTGTCATTGCCTTAGTCTGTTTGGGCTGATGTAACACAATGTCGTAGACTGGGTCGTTTATAAGATACAGAAACTTACGGGGCTGGAGAGATGGCTTAGTGGTTAAGACCACCCACTGGCTGCTCTTACAGAGGGACCTGGGTTTGGTTCCCAGCACACACATGGCTGATAACAGTGTAACTCCAGTTCCAGGGGATCCAGCTCCCTCTTCTGACATCCTCTGGCATTGCACGACATGGGCACACTTACATACCTGCAGGCAATATGCTCATACATATAAAATAGAAATAATAAAAAATATATTTAAAAAAAAAGAAAAAGAAACTTATTTCTTACTGTCCAAGATTGAGACAGTGGTAGAAGTGAGGTCTGGGGTTGGGGTCAGCTTCTTGGTGCATAGATGGTTCTTCTTCTCTCCTTTCTCATGTGGGAAGAGTCAATAGTTCTCTCGGGCTTAGTTTATAAGGGTGCTGGTCCTATTCACAGGGGCTTTACCCTCATGTCCTTAGAGGCCCCACCTCCTAATACCATCACTTTGGTGATTAGAATTTCAGTGCATGAATTTGTAGGGACATTGCTATCCCAACCACACAGTATCACTCTTGGCCTTAGACTGAGGTCAAGTACAGGCAACAGCACGTGTGTGTGCTGCTGTGGTTTCCTGCTTTGATCTCTAATCCTGGAGACATAAATTATTTCTGGGATTATTTCTGGGGCTAGTCACTGGATTGTAATCACATCGTGATTATTGGTGCCAAGAATGAAATTGTGCTGTAAAAACATTCTTACATGTTTGCATTTTAAAGTAAATTACCTTTATTGCTTTTTTTTTGAACTGGGTTGTTTATGATTACATTTAAGCTACTGTTTAAATTTGTTCACACTTTTCGCCCATTGTTACAGAAGAAAGACATCTTAGATAAGATTTTCACATTCAGTCAATATGTGGAAAACCATGCTTAATCTTGTTTTGTGAATGAAAATGAGCTTCCAATTTTTTTTAGAAATGGGAAATGATAGTTTTAAATTTTTCTTGGGCCTTTTATTTTAGGGCTGCCTGTCTCTGAAGGAAGTGAAGAAAGTGGAAATACAGTGTTTTCTGAGATGGTTAATGGAGGTATAGATCTGAGTCCAGGTGTTAGCACTAGAATTCCCCCTGACAGCCAAGTTAGTGACTGGCCACATAATAACAAATCCATATGTGTGTGGACAAAATTCAGTTTAACTCACCTCCCTTTTTTACTGTATTAAGATACACATAGTATGAAATTTGCCATCTTAACCATTTTTTGGCTCAGTTATATACCTTCCTCCAGACTTTAAAAGTTTCTTAGCAACAGAGAACCTTGTGTGTTGGGGGGGGTGTATACTTTTTCAAAGACGGTTTGAATTGCTGAGAATAATTTTGTGTGTGTGTGTGTGTGTGTGTGTTTTTTCCTTATATGAACCTTACATATTCTGATTTTTATAAATAGGGGATCATGTCTAATCTCTTCACATTTAAAGTTCACCTCAGGTACTTGCAGAACTATCCCCTGAATTAGAGCAATTTAAACATAGTTAGAAAAGTCATTGTGAATTCTGATGAGACGGATAGTGTTTGGAAATGATATTTAACTATAGGCTCTGCAAGGAAGGACAGGGAGAGTGAGGAGAGCTGTTCCCCTTTTTTACCATCATTTACTCCTAATAAACACAGTCGTGCCTGTGGTCAGTATGTAGTCACTGGGTTATTTTGTCTTCCTTTTTTAACTGAGAAGTTAATATTTGGTAATGTCTGGCTTTCCTCTTTTGTTGTTGCTACTTCATGTTTTATTTCATTTCTTCCTTTTATTTCATCCACCCCTCCCCCTACGCCCTTTGACTCAAGATTTTACTGTTTGAGAAATATTTTTTCTTCTCCCACATTCTGTTTTGGGATTCCATATGCTGAAGAAGCTGGAGTCTGTAGTACATTACCTGTCATTTCAGGGATCATAGGAGGCAAACGAAACACTGTTATCATTTGAATCCTGGGCTTAGAAGGGGCCACAGAAAGTTGAATCTTCCTAGGGATGTTCCTGAAGTGGATGCAACAGCAGATGCTATGTTTGTGTTCTCAGGTCAATGGCACTGACTTCAAGTTCCGAAGTGCAGGTGTCCTCCTCCTTGTGGTGGATGCCTGCAGTGTTCCCTTCCGGGTGACAGAAAAACAGATGTTCCTTCTTGAAAATGTCACTCGCGTGGATGAGTATTTAAAAGCAAACATCCCTCCAAGGTAGGTCCATCTCACTTTGCACAAGGGAAAGGTTACCTTATATATGGAGCCTACCACACAGTTAGTGCATGCCTACCTCTGAGCTCTGTTTACACTCCAGAAGCATTCTGGGCTCTGTGTAGTATTCCTTTCCCACTGATTGATGCATGGTGGCCCAAGGTACTTATATTTGATGGACTGGTACTCATCAGTGGCAGAACCTGGATGTTAGATGATTTTGCAAATGATAGGCTCTTTGGAAGAGAAAAGCTGGTTACTTAGAATATGACTATGCCACTTTTTAGAGTTCTGCCACTTTTAAGTTGATCTACTTTGTACCCAACTGGCTCAGAAGGCTTATAACTATTTTGAAGGAATTTTCTGGCAATTTTACCTCTGTGACCATCTGTCCCACTGATGAACTCTCACAGCATTGTACAATGACTGTGATTCAAGAAGTCATTGCCTAGGTCACTTGGAAGTGAGTAGAAAAGAATAAATTGGTTTTTAAATGGTTGAGTGTCCCACTCTCTTCCGAGGGGCGTTTTATTTTTCTCCTTCTTAGTTCATCTCTGAAAAAAGATGAGAAAAATCTCTGAAAGGATGCACATGAGAAAAAAAAAAAACCTTTGTTTTTCTGGGTTGGTCAGATCTTGCCTAGGGGCAAGGAGATGAATTCAGGGTCCTTGCTGCTCTCCAGCAGAAGTGCAGCCGTTAAAGAAAGAGCACGAGCTGGAGTGAGGCTTGCCTGGCTTCCAGGAACTTCAGTTGGTATAATGCTTTATGTTCTTTATAGCTTGCAGAACTAGGTCCCAATAAATCCTATAAAGTCTTTGGATTACTTTTCTGTGGTGTGTGTGTGTGTGTGTGTGTGTGTGTGTGTGTGTTACTTGCTAAGGATCTCCAAGGATTGTCTGGTGATTGCAAGCTGTTGAAGAAGCTCGGGTCTACAGAGCTGTCATGGCCAGTCCTCTGCAGTAATTCTGTATCAAGTCTCACGGCTTTGGAAAGATTGCAGCAGAGAGCCCAGACCACAATCTCTATCTTAAGCAGTGTCAAAGCCCACACAAAGAAAGTACCTATGCTGCTAAATGATATGTAGTTAGAGTTTAATTAAAGGAGGAATTCTTTTTTTTTCTGTGTGGAAAATTTAGTATTATAAAGAAGTCCCTAACTAAACTAAAGTATAAAAGCAACGTGTTTCCAAAAATGGGAGTAAATCGCCTTTCTCCGACTGGGATTGGCAGTTGGTACTGCAGTCTACCTCTAACAGCAGTCAGATCCTTTTAAAGAAATTACACCAATACAAAAAAGGGCTTGTTTTATCAGATATTAAAATAAAACATGAAGTCATAGTAGCTAAGCTAGGAAGAGAACCAAGACTCCCCAAACAGTTCTGAGTATTGTGTCAATTTACTAGACATTAAAAATGGCAATAAGGGGCTGGAGAGATGGCTGGCTCAGTGGTTAAGAGCACTGACTACTTTTGCAGAGGATCATGGTTTGATTCAGCTGCACCCACACGGTGACTAACAGTCTATAACCCCAGCTCCAGGGGATCCAATGCCTTCTGACCTCCACAGGCATTGTACGACATGGGTACACTTACACACATGCAGGCAATGCATTCATACACATTAAAAAAATAAAAGGGGATGGAGAGATGGCTCAGCAGTTAAGAATACTGGTTGTTCTTGCAGAAGACCCAGGTTCAAATCCCAGCACCCACATGGCAGCTAACAACTGTCTGTAACTCCTGTTCCAGGAGATCTGACAGCCTCTTCTAACCTGCGGGCATTGCACAGCATGGGTGCACTTACCTACATGCAGGCGATACACGCATACACATAAAATAAAAATAATAAATAAAATTTTAAAAAATAAAAAATTAAAAAAATGGTAATAATTTTTTTTCAAATCATGCACAGCCTGTTGTTAATTTTTATGTATTCATTTGTTCTTATTGTCATTTGCAGCACTAGGGATCAAATGTAGGGCCTCCCTCATGCTAGACAGGCACTATATACTGAACTACACCCTAACTCTTATTTTTACTTTTTAGGTTTGTGTTTATCCATTCACTTACTAAATAGATAGTGACACATAGATTAATAGAACATCTGAGGGCTGGACAGATGGCTCAGCAGTTAAGAACACTGGTTGTTCTTGCAGAAGACCCGGGTTCAAATCCCAGCACCCACACGGCAGATAACAACTGTCCGTAACTCCAGTCCCACGGGATCTGACAGCCTCTTCTGACCTCCATGGACATTGCACAACACAGGTGCACTTACCTACATGCAGGCAACACACGCATACACATAAAATAAAAATAATAAATAAAATTTTAAAAAAAGAGCATCTGAGAAAAGCCAAAACCATCGTCCTCTGAACAATAGATTAATCCATAAGAGGTCTGACTCCCAAGTTGTCCTCAAACCTCAGTGAATCTTGGCTTCCTTGGCTTTGTGCACCCAGAATTACAGCCCCCTCATAACACAAGAGGTTCCATTATAGCAGGGAGATGGGACTTGTCAGCAGGGAAGAAAAGCAGCTGGCCTGTTTTCCTTTTGAATTCTGCTTTTATGTAGTATTCTGTGCGGTTCTTAGTCCAGAAAGCTACTCAATAAACATGCTGAATAATTGGAATTGGTTCTGATTTTCTGAATTTGACCTGCAGATCAATTGTTTTGTTGAGCACAAGAGGAGAAATAAAGCAGTTGAACATTTCTGATTCATTGGTATCCCTGGGATTGGCTAAACCAGCGCATCTTTATAACAAAGGTTTGTATCTGCAATATTGTGTGAGGTTCTTAGGAGGCCCATATGCATTTTTATGGTAGAATTGATCTGTTCAGCCATTTTCATGAGCTTTGCCTGGGGTGGGTATCATTAAGATAATTTCCTCAGAAGGGCCTGTGGTAGAGGAAGTGTGTTGTTACATGGCTTGCCATTTGGGTGGCGGGAGTTCATTGCTGACGTCAGGAAGTGCAGGCATTTTATTATTATATATATATAACTACCTTTGTTTTACACAGCTCTGACTCACCTCATTATCTTGCTGGAACTGGTAGCTGTACACTTCAACTTTTTCTTTTTCTTTTTTTTAGGGAGTATCATATTTTTGGGATTCAGCGGAAACTTTAAACCTTCATGGACTAAGCTGTTTACCAGTCCTGCTGAGGAGCAGGGCCTCGGGCTGATTGAGCAGTTTTTACCTTTGCAGCTGGAGGACTATGGGTGTCCCAGAGCTGGCAGTGTCCGCAGAAGAGACCTCGAACTGTTAAAGCAGGCTTCAAAGGCACTTTAGAGACTGACTGTAACTTAAGTGCTGGGAAAGAAAAAAATGTGAACTAACTTATTTAATTTATGGCATTTTAAGATGACACTGTTAACCCAATGGAACCATTTTCCTGTTTGATACAAAATGGGGAGAAAAGAAAGCACTCAGAGAGATTGCCTGAATGCCGGCTTATCACCTTCTCAATGTACAGAATGCTGAAGAAGTCCTTTATCTGTGTAAGGCTGGTGGTGTGTTTGGAGAGCAGTTCTCTCGTTCTACACCTTGCACCCAGGATGGGTAGTGCCCATGGGTGGTGTTTTGCTTTCTGTAGAGTGGGGTGCGGTGGGGACTTCTAAAGAGTTGCTTGAGCTCGTTAAAGAACTGGCTGCTCTAGCACCTTGGATACTTGAAGTCTAACACGCTCAGTTGTGGCAAGTAGCAGTTGACTTGGGTGACTGGCGTATTCCATGATGCCTGGGGCTTGCCTCAGACAGGCTTTGAGGTTCAGTGTGATGCCAGATACAGTATTCAGTGGCAACTCAGGCCCAGCTCATGCCCTTTTTTGCCTGGACATGTGCTATTTTTATTCATTTGTATACTGATGACATTTGAGGGTTCACCTTTCAAAGAGGAACAAAAGGGCTTTTGAAATCCGTTTAATCTGTGACCATTGAGCAAAAATCATGACCTGCACCCAGGTCCGAGGTTGGTGGGACCTCTTGCAGCTTTAATCCTTAACCTATCTTGACTGTATATTTGTATTTAAAATGTGGAGTGGAACTGAATTATTACTGTTCATAAAAAAGCAGCAGATCATTTGCCCAAACTAAACTGTTGTCATTTTAACTTGGACAAAGGCCGTCTGTTCTCGGTTTTGCTCTTGTACCTGGATTTTACTGTTATTTTGGTGTGGAGATTTTATTTTTAAAAAACAAAGCTTCTCTGCTCACCATTCTGGCAGAAAAATCCCAGAGAGCTTAATGATACTCCAGAATGACTGCACAAGGGTGGAGGGGAAGCCTTTGGAGGGCCAGAATCATGGAGGAAATAGGAGCCTCTTTGTAGCCTTAAAGTGAGTCCAGTTGTTAAAGATAAGTAGAAAGGGGCACCTTGGCTCCTGCTGTCCCTTTCTATTGTGGTCACTTTTCTTCACCCTGTGGGGAACACATGTGGCAAAAGGAGGCAGGTGCTGTAGCTGAGAGGAGTCATTACTTGTTTATAACCCCATGAGGCACAAAGGCGTGTTGACGAACAGCCGGGCATGTTTGGGCAGAAATTAGCCATGAACTCAGACACAGTCATTTTCCTGTATGAAGGGCCAAGGCCAATGCCTGTACTGTTGTGTCCAGCAGACATTCTAGAGCAGCTTTGTGACTGTGTTACTTTACAAAAGATGCTACCTCAGACTGCTATGACACACCATTCTGACTGTAAGTGCTCATGCAAAGGGCACACCATGTCTTAATCAAAGTTTGGTTATTTGTTTTTTGGGTTTTGGGGGGTTTTTTGGTTTGTTTTTTGATGTAGCTCTCTCTCTTTCTCTCTCTCTCTCTCTCTCTCTCTCTCTCTCTCTCTCTCTCTCTCTCTCTAGTGATGAGTGGAATTGTACCTATTAAGTATATTATTGGATCATGGTTCCTGAAGGTGATTAAACTGCTATGTGTGGGTATGTGTATGTGTGTGTGTATGTTATGACTTAAATATATTTGATGTGTGTTTTTTAGAGTTCAGTTCTTTAAATATTTGGAGAAGGATATGTAAATTCTGAGGCACTCAGTTTTTCTGATTTATATACTAATAATTAGGGCCTAAGTTAAATAAAAATATTTGTGCATGTATTCTGCATATGTGTATATGTGATTCTTTATCTGTAAATGGTAAGATTCCAGATTCCAGCTATAAGGAAATTGTTGGCAGAAATAAAGGGCAGTCCATGCAGCATGGAACAAGCTCTCCAGTGCAAGGAGCCCAACCTTCGCAGCTGTATTTCCAAAGTTCCACGGCGCTTACTCCCAGATTTGAATTAATTGGTGTTGGGTACAGTTGGGGCACTGCAGTTTTTTAAAGCTTCGTGGGTAAGTCTAGCATGCAGTCGCATTTGGAACCGCTGTACTACAAGAATCCCACTATTTCGCTTCAGTCTGCAATATTTTTGTGATTAAAACACAGTTGCGTTAATATATTATTTTGAGGTTCGTATATGACTCATAGGATTCTCATCCTTTTATGAAAGAATTTTCAAATACATAGTTTTTAGTCTGTAATCTCTATTAGTCACACAAGCTGACAGAGATTTCAGACAGTTGGGACCTAACATGGCATTGTCTGTGCTGAGAAATTATGTTCCAAGGTGATTTACAACTTTGTAGACATTTTCTGTCAGGTGAGGTCCTTGGCTCAGTTTCATAAATAGGACTGGGTACAAATCAGCTGGCTGGGAAGATGCACAGTGGGGTGTCAGAAGGTGACTGACAGGTGTTTTAGGTCTTGCTGAGAGGGTTCTGCCTGTGAGGATCCACCTGAAACCAGCTTCCTGTGGGTGATCTTGAGAGGTGAAGACTGCCTGAGAAAAGATGAAAGGCAGGTGTACCATGTTCTGGAAAATGGCTCCCAAGCCACCTCTAGTCTGATGCTTGAACTTCAGGGTGGAGACAGGGGCTCAGGGCTCCTCTGCTCCCTAACGTCATCACACCGATTACACATCTTCATGTTAAGCAGTTTTCTTAGTTTGGAGGAGGGGTGAGCAATGAGGAGATGGGCAGAGTCTTGAATGCTCCAGATAATGGTTTTCATTTCTTAAAGGATGAAGTAATGTTTGGATCAGTCCAGCGTAAAGGCATTTCAATAGGAAGCAGTGTACTTAGTGAATCCCAATGCTTTTTCTCTTGTTCCTAGGGAGTAAGTGTGTCCCACTAAGAGTGCTTGCTATCTTTGGTTTTCAGAATTGGAGTTTATCCTCTAGAATTCTTTTTATATATGTATTATTTTGAGATAGGGGCTGGCTATATAGCCCTGGCTGGCCTCCTTCTCAAGGAACTCCCTACCTTAGCCTCCTGAGTGCTGGAGTGTAGGTAGTACCACCACTCAGCTTCCTCTAGAATATACACTCCCTCACCCCCCACCCCTCTGCTGGAAATCAAACCTAGGGCCTTGTACATGTTAGACTTCCAGAATTCTTGTTTTTCACATACCTAATAAGCCATGTTTAATAGCCCAAGTAATTCTAGAGGTAAAGACCTTTACTAGGATAATTAGTAACTAGGATAACTAGGTTTGTATAATTACATTAGTCTGACTTGGTAAAGACCCACCTTTTTTTTTTTAGTATATATATTTTTATATATATATTCTTGTCTGTCTTTAGAGAGACCCCCCTCACACTCTCTCTCTCTCTCTCTCTCTCTCTCTCTCTCTCTCTCTCTCTCTCTCTCCTTCTCTCTCTCTCTCTCTCTCCCCCTATCTTTTTCTCTTTTTTTCTATAGTACTGGGAATTTATTTTAGGGTCATGCACATGCTAGGCAAGTGTTCTAACCACCGAGCAGATCCTCGATGCTGAAGCTGATTTTCAATGAAAGATTAGTGATGAAAAAAATCCTAGAGAATTGTTCCCAGTTTCTTTTTCACAAATTATGAAATATTGACAGTTTTCTGGGTAACTTGAGCCATTTGAAAGCTAGATGGTTTTCCACTCTTACTTAGCTTCAGTATAAAGACCCTGATTTAAAGGATGCTTAGTTTGGTCTTGGTGCTCTGGGTAAATGCACACGCTTTATTGTTAGATGGTATAATTGGAGACTGACGGACTGAACTTTGCTTTGTAAACAAAGAACTCTGCCCCAGAGGAGATCCAAAAATATCAACCATACCAAGTTGTAAAAATGTTTTATCTGAAAAAAATACCATGAAGATCAGGAAAACACTTTTTTTGCAATTTTCATTAGATAGACAAAACGATTAGTCTAAATATGAAGAATGATGCATCTAAAGTTCATCCTCAGAAAATCTTAGATGTTATAATCATAGCTGGCTAATCAGAGTTGGCAAAGTGGCTTGTTAGCCCCTCTCTAAAAGTTCGAGCTAAAAATGGTGAATTTTTTTATTTCCTAGTTGCTTTGATTGACATAGTTGTGCATACAAGGTACATTGTAAGGTCTTGATTCATATATACATTGAGTATATATGAATTGAGTATATTGGAGAAATTACCATATCTACCATCATTAAACTCTCATCATTTCATTGTGATGGATACATTCAAGTTTCTCATTTTAAGATGTTTAGTGTGTTATTGTTGATTGATGGGGTTCTAGTGTTCTGTGGCACTGTGGGGAGCTAAGACTTGTTTTTGTTTTTTGATATGATATATTGGGAAAAATTAAAGACTGACATCGTGTGAAGATTCTATGCAAATTATATTTCGGTGTCCATAAATAAGGTGCAACTGGAAGGGACCCAGCCAACCTCATCTGGTCCACAATGTTAAGGGAGGCTTCAACCCATAAGGTCCCCAAATACCTACTATTAGGTTCTTTACTGGACAAGCATGCTGACCCTTGACCTTCTTGAAGGGTACACTGATGTTCATTGTTCTGCTCTTGGAACTTGCCAACATTTTGAGAATTTAAAAAATAGTAAGGAGGGGCTGGAGAGATGGCTCAGTGGTTAAGAGCACAACCAGCACCAACGTGGTGACTAACAACCCTATATAACGCCACTTCCAGGGGATCTGACTCCCTCTCTGACCTCCACTGGCATCACAAAACAGGTGCAGTTACACACATGCAGGCAATACGCTCATACACATAAAATATTTTTAAAAATTAATAAGGAGAAACCTGCTAGAGTCATGTGCGGTGATGATGAAGTTCAGGCTCCCACGCCCCCCCCCCCAACTGGCACCTCCAGCAGGTGGAGCTGGGCATGAAAATGCACACATTCTGCGATGTTTGCTAGGAATGCTGCAATTTGAAAGCCCCATAGGACCCAGTAAGCCCCTTATTTCTTGCTCACATTTCTCACAGTGGAGAATGAATTCAAATACAGTGTGGAGCTTTCTTCTACATGGTCTTCCCTAAAACTTGCTCTGATTGATTACAGCAGAGTAGATTTGATGTACAGCAGGGTCCATTCTGAGGCAGATACTATATGAAGCTTGTGATCCGGTTTCCCATTAATGATGTCTGAAATTCTCAGTTAAAATTATTCTTTGACTGTGGTTGCTCCTACTCTGAAATCTCAGCCATCTTTGAATATTGCACATCTTTTCAGTATTTGTAAGAAGTTGAAAGGAAAATGTGCATTTAGCGAAAATTAGGCTACAGAATAACAAGCACAAGTTTCTTAGCTTTGGATGACACTGCAGCTCCAGTTATTTCATATGTATTGAAGCTGTTAACATAGATGTGTGTTAAAGTAGGTTGAAAGATTTCATGTATGCATTTGCTTGGTAATCAGAGGCCTTTTGATTGGAATGTGGCCAGAGATGGTTGGATGGACTTGGGGTTAAAGAAATTGATTACTGTCAGGGGAAAGGGTAGGGCCTGGGAGGGCGTGCCCAGTTCCCCTTCTCCCAATCAGCCTGTGTAAGTGTTAGCACCTGTTCCCAAGGGCAGCACCTAGGCTGGGAAGGTTTTTTGTTTTTTGTTTTTTTAACTTAAAAAAAAAAAAACAAAAAACCTTTATTGAGAATTTCATACATGCATATAAGGTGTTTTGATCAAAGCCACGTCCACTCCCTCTCCTCCAACTCCTCCCCTATTCACCAGTCAAGGACTTTCTTTTCTCCCTACAGATAAGAATTATGCAATTTGGGAGTCTTTTAGATAGACCCACTGAAGGGGTACCTACCCTAATTGCCTCACCCTGCATCCCTGTTCAGCATGGAAGAAGCCAGAGCAGTCTGCATCCTGATTCCCTATTGGCAATTTGGGTAACCTCTTCAGAGGATGATGTGATAAGAATAGGAGGTAGGAATTGGCTAAGCAGTTAGGGTGAAAAAGACCCCAAAGAAATGTATCTATGAAAGTTTTTGAAGGAGAGTGAGCTTTGTGTCTTGGGTCAGAAGCATCAGTAACTCCCAATATGGGAAGAAGTTCTGACCAAAAGTCGTCCATGAGGAAACTTGATTTTGAAAAAAGTACACTCATACACTTGGGAGGCAAGGCAGAAGAATCATAAGTTCCAGGGCAGCCTGGGTTATGTAGGCCAGCTTTGTCTGCATGAGATCCCATTTTTTAAAAAGTACATTTCAGTTTTCTCTTAAGGAAAATACTTAGCAGTTAAGGGTGAAATGCCTGATGGTTCTTTGGTGGATGTTTTGTTGAGCAACTCACGTTCAGTGCCAGCAAAGCCGCTTAGTGGTGTTAGTGGGAGCAGCTTCCTACTCCTGATCCTCAGCTTTCCCGTCTATAAGATGGGACCATAAATACTTTGTGTAATTAGAGGAGGCATTACATGAGTATAGCTTGGCTCACAAACAGCTGGCATCAGAAATACGTGATAGTTTGTTTAAAAACTGCCAGAATTCCTAACACTTGTAAATTCATTAGTAGTTTTACAGCAGTTAAGAATTAGGAAATTTAAGGGGTTGGCCGTGGTGGTGCATGCATTTAATCCTAGCACTCAGGAGGCAGAAGCAGAGGATCACTGTGATTGAGCCAACCTGTAATGCTCTACAGAGTGAGCTCCAGGCCAGCTGGGGTTACAGGGAGGCCCAGTCTCAAAAAAAAAACCCCAAAAAACCAAATTTAGGAAATCTAGTTTTTAAACAAGTTTTCAAAATAGTACTAGGGCTGGGAAATGCTGAGACTAGCCTATGTCAAGCCTCTGCCCTGGTTGCAATAC